TTCATCAAAGAAAAAGTTCAAGATGTAACCCTCAGCAGGTAAAGTGATGTGCATTGTCTTTTAGGATAAGAAAGGGGGGTGATCCTTTTGGATTTCCTGGAACCCAGACAAACCATCAACTCTGAATGCTACATCATGGCACTGATCAAGATGAAGGGTAAAACTTCCACAGCCAGGTAAGAGAAGACAACCTTCCTCTTGCAACATCATAGTGCCAGGCCTCATATCAGTTTGAAGACTGTGCAGGTCTCTGCCATTCTTGGCTGTACTATCCTACCACATCCATCATATAGTCCAGACTTGGCATCTTCTGACTTCTGTTTGTTTAAGCTGTTGAGAAATGGACTGCATAGGCAATATTTTTCTAGCAACAATGCCATCATAGCACTGGAATAGATATTTTTTTTTTTATAAGTGTGGCATGCAGTTCATTGCTGGCAAAAATGTACAGCTAATGATGGTGGCTGTTGAAAAACAGTGTTTTGTAGCTGAAAATTTGCTCTATCAAATAATCTTATTGTACTCTTTGCAGCTGGTGTAGTTTCCATGGCAATAAATAGAAGGCACTACATTTGAAGTGACCTAGGTATGAGGCTTCGGCTTGTTTGAAATTAATGAGGGTCTGTGATTTCCCTTGGATACCTGACTCCAAAGCAGGGAATGCTTTCCATTAGAGAGAACTCACAACAGTGCTCAGCAGTTGCACTTTGTTTAGATTTTTATAAACCAGACTTGTACAACGCTATTCACTGACAATATTCAAAAGGCACAGCATATTGCATGTTCAGCTGCACAGTGAGCAGAGAATTAGGCAAGGTAGGGCAAGAAAAAGTCAGATTTAAAAATAAATTTTAAATGAGCAATTTTGGAAAGAAGCTTTTTTTTTTTTTTTTTTTCCTTGGTAGTGAAATGCGGTCACACATACAGTTGGACCTACAGAACCGAGGCCAGTGTCTCACTGCAGGCCATCCCACCTCACCCCTCCCCTGCACCAGCTCTGGTGTTTTTGTGACTCTAGGCTGAACTGCTGCTGTGTTAAGTCAGCAGAAATTGAAGCCAACAAAAAGGGCAATAGGTTTATGCTGCCAGGAAGTAAAGAAAAAAGTGGTTGAGGACAGGCTGAGAAAGGAGACAGGCTGTTGCAGCCGTGCAGGCTCTGTCTGATTAGCTATTGCATCTACAGCAGCCTTACTGGTACCTCATCGTTCCAAATGAGGCTATACTATTATAAACATATATTTCAATAAAAATACCATCTTGCATAATATTGTCTCATTTTCCATGTACAACTGTTTGCCCAGTCATCATCTAGGAAAAGAAGGACAGGAAGTTTTTGTTCTTGTCATTGCTTTCAATCAAGATCAGTTCTCCAGTCTAGCTTATCAAGTGGCCACACAAACAGATGTGCTGGCAAAAGTGAGGGGTTGCACAGGACTGGAAACAAGCAGCTGGAGGAGGGAGGCTGTTAAACCAGCAGGGAAAACAATATATGCATTGGTGAAACTGGTGCAAATTCAGACCACATAAAAGAGAGCAATATGGCCTACAGAGTTTGTAGAGTTCTGCTCTAAAGTAATTAAGCTATAAATAAAATGTAAAATAATTAAAAATCCATCTCATATGAATGAACTTGCATTTTTATATTAAAGTACTTATTCAATTAAAAAAAAAAAAAAAAAAAAAAAAAAAAAAGGTTTTGATTTCTGTCACACATTTCTCATGTTTCTCCTTTGGATGCAGCTACACAAGGCTGAGACCTAAGCTCATAGCTCATGGTCCCCAAAATGTCTCTCCTAACCATGCAAGTCCTGCCACTTACCTTAAGTTATTCCCAAGGCTTCTTGGATTCTTTTACAAGATCATGTAGCTATCCTACACATGGCAAAACACAGAACTGAAATTGCTCTGCCAAGAGCCTAATGAGTATCAGATCCAATGTGAGAACAGGACTGGAAACACACAACAATTAGTTGGTGGCAAAAGAACAAAGAACAGTGAAAATCTTTATTTCTAGCAAAAACAAGTAACTAAACTGATTCATATAGCCAGAATCTGCAGCACAGCTGACCTGAATTCCCACCATCAGTATGAACAACAGCCTTCTTCCCAAATTACAATGGCAACACGAGGTTCGGGCATGCATTATGCTGAGCTGAGCTGGAGCACACCTAGTTGTCTTTCCAAACCTCAGTTTGGCAGGAGAGTGGGACAACATTTAATAAACCAGTAAGTCTGGTTTATTACAGTCTCTGCCCATGTGTCCTGCCAAACTATTATTAGAAAGTGCATTTGTCAAAATGCAAATCTTCCACTAAACAAAGCCATTTACACTAGTGACTATCTGCAGAATCTATGTAGAGCATTCCAGGAACTATTGGTGTTATTAACATTTAAAAAGATCTAAAAATCATAGTCATGTTCTTTGCTCAGGGGAGAGAACGTAGCCTAATTTTGGACCCAGTTTCATTAGGATTTGTGTCCTGTAGACAAAAGTCTAGAACAAGAGCCCTTTGCTATCAGCACACCAAGATTTTCAACTGCTGCAGTACATCACTTTTTCCTCAAAGAGAAAAGCTGGGGCCAAAGACAATCAAAGCCAAAAAACCCAAACTGAAACAACATTAAAGACAAACAGGTATACCAGGCAAAAGAAAAAAAAAAAGAAAAAAAGCATGAATGCATGCATGTGCTCTCAGTGCTGCAGGGAGGCACTGAATACTGAAAAATCCAAACCCGAGGCAGTACTTATTGGGCTCCAGAACCTGTAATTAGGCTCAAGACTGCTATCAAACTACTTCCATTCAGATAAGACAAAAATAACTTCCCCACTGAAGAGATTGCTTATTGCAGAAAAAAAGTCACTCTTCTATGAAAAATGTTGGATACCTCAAGACTTTTACTTTTTACTCTGCTTCTTATAAAGCCATACACAAACTGATAAGCCTTAATTAACTACTAATTCTATTCTCATAAAATAAATGTACTCAAAATGCAGAAATGTTCTTTGAGTGGAGACTTGATTCTTAAAGGGTAAATGAGCAGACCCAACAGCAACAATGAAGGAAACCATCATTTTCCTTGAAATGAGCAGGCATTTTAAAAAAGATACACAAACGTGCAAGACATACCTGGACAACCTCGAAGACCTCATCACCTTAACTGCAATACAAAACTGACTCTAGGAACTGATATTGTTAATAATACTCTAATAAGAATTATTGCATGTACTTTGCTGCTCCACTGAAGAGTAATTCTAGGCACTGAAGACTATGGGAGATTCAAAACTTATTTCTATAAAGACCAACAGCCAGAAATAAGAAAATAGAAAACCCATAAACATTCTTTAAAAAGAAGTAAGCCCACAAGACAATAGAATATAGATAAACAGAATTTCTACCTGTTCAACACTTCTGTTGTTACCTGGAGATCAATAAAATGACATTTTTCATTTATTTATATTTTTCCCTCCCAAAGTCAATATGACTTACAACAGGTTCAAACCTTTTATACTTCACTGGAATAATTTTTACTGCTTTCAAGTATCCTGTAAGAAGATTTATTTACATCTTCTTGTTCTCTAGTGAGCAAGTTAGTATAAGAAATCTTTCCAGTCTCTCTCTGTGAATACATAGGCTTGACTGATTATGAGAAAAAGTTCTACAAGGCATTATATAACAATGCAAACATCTCCCTCATCCTTTCTAGAATTAGCCATGAATTTAAACATAAACAATATTTTCAAGTAATTTAGTTCTCTTTATGTAATTTAGGCTAATATGTAGGTATGCTTATGGCATACACATATATATTTCTCTTCTAGATTCAGGGCAGTAGCACACAGAGCCTTCTGTTTCACATTACTGCACTTCTTCAAAAGCTTTGTTCCATAGGTATTCAAAGAGCGATTTCAGGATTAATTTAAGTCCGCCTGGCTTCTGCCTGCTCTCCCACTGTTCCTAGCTGCACAGAAAGAACCTTCTATCTCCTTTGCTTCAGTACGAGCAGTAGTGCAATTGTAGTAAGGTTCAAGAATGCTCAACTAACTGAAAGCTGATTGCTCTTTCCCACTGTATTATGATTTGGCTCTAACGCAATTAATTTAAATTAGGTCTGCTGTGGTTTCCCTTGTCTCCTTCCCCAATCTGTCTCATATGTACATTTCTTTGATAACAGGTTAGGAAGGGAATTCAGTACGCAGATGAGAATGGCTGCAGCAGTGCAAAGGCGTTACTACTGCAACGTAGCAACACCTTGTATGTTTTAAGAATTTTGAAGTTTAAAAATAAAGACTAATTTTTATAAAATTTGGTTCACTGTTCAGCACTTGAGCCACAAGTTTATTTCGCCTGCCACCACAATAGTTGGATCTGCGTGTCTACTGTTGTTCCTTCTGTAAGACTTGTGCATGCTGAATTCTTGTCATAAAAAAAGCCCACCCATTCACATGCTTTCACGGAAACATGAGGGCTTCATGGTAAAGTTTTGAAGATGAACTAACCTAATGGTTCACTGTCACCAAAATAAGGAGGTCTTACTCCTTCTTTCACTACTTCCTCTCTGTTGTTGCTCTGCACTGGCTCAGGAGCAACCAAAACCTGATTTGGCTGAGCTTACTACACTGGCAGAGAAATAACCCAACAGAAAAAGTGAATGATTTTTGTCAGTTTATCTAAAGAGGTCAGATGAATACTATCACAAAGAAGTATAGTACACCTTTTTCAGTATAATGGTGCCTCCAACAGGTTTGGCTAACTCCAGATTGACAACAGGAACACTTGAGGCAAAGGGCAGGGCAAGAGAAGTGTTGTTTTTTTTCCCCACATTCACCTTAAGGTTATTTAAGATTATTAGGTTTTAAAAATTCATTCCAGCATTAAATAAAGTAGCATTATCACTTTTCATGGCTATCTTATCCTTTCACTTACACCATTGCTTGCCAACTAATCAACAAACTTGGTTTGTAAACAAAACTTGGTTTAATAAACAAAATATTTACTTACCTACAAAACCCTTTTCCCCAACTAGTTTAAGGGCAATTTTATCTGCCAAAATGGAAGAATTTCCATGGGCAATGTTAGCAAAAGGTCCAGCATGAACAAATACTGGTGTTCCCTGAATGATAAAAAAATATATTTTTTTCATTATGGATAGGTAAGAACACAAACTTGATAGACTTGCAAAATAATCAAACCAAAAGCATGCACAGCAAGAAAATGGAAACTTGGAAACTATTAAGCATATAATAAAAGTTGTTGTTCTCCCCTGCCCCACAAACACAGCAGTATTATTAAGAAAACAGGCTTTATAAACAAAAAAAAAAATCTATTTTCTTTCATAAATAATATTTTCTGTCATAACTTAAGTATTTCATTTATGTTTCACTACATAACTTTAGCGACATACTTAGGTTATGATAGAAAATGTATTCTAATTTCACTAACAATGAATACAAATCTCTCACAAATAACAACAACTAACACTTGTTCTTACTGCTTCCTATAGAAGCAATTACACATACAACATAGCATTCCTTTGCCACTGGCAAATAAGTTTTCAGACTTGCTCTAAGAAAATTGTTGTTTTTTTGTTTTTTAATTGAAAGTAGGAAGAGGGGAACATACATACATATTGGCAGAGGATGTTCTTCAGAGACTAGACAACTGAGTTAGAACCTAAAGACAATTCTGCCTCATACATGTCAGAGAAGAAATAGTGGAAAAGTAGCAGAAAAAAGTAAATAAACCAGAAATCGTGCCCTGTAACAAGAAGAACGGTATAGATTATTACTGTCACAACACACCTATGTTAGTATTTAGTTTGTTTTTGTTTTTTGTCTGATAATGATTATATACTGCAAAATCTATAGGGTTTTATGCATTTACACAAAAATTTAACTTGAACTAGGTACACTTTCAACATCTTATAACATTTGAGCATTAATCTAACAGGAGATACAGTGCAAAATACAAAATTATCTCTATCTCAAAGGGCTTGTAACTTAATTAAATAAAATGCTACCCTGCTTTCTACCAACCTAAGCCTATCCTTCCTCAGATTTTACTTCTACTTTAATACAATACTTACCCTCATCTCATTCAGCTAAATAACATTGCAGTTTTCCAGTACTACATAGAAATCCACAGGATTTATTCTCATGTTTTATCACTCAAGAAGTAACATTAAACATTAGGAATTCTTAATTTCTTGTGGCAAGCAATTGCAGTGCCATTCGCATTACAACCTAGCACAAACATCCAGCAGAGGTAGCACATGGAAGCAGAAGCACAAGTGATGAAAGGGCAGCCCAGTTCATCCCTCAGCAGCTATACAGAGAGGGGCCAGAAGGGCCACAACATCTCTAGCACAATTGTTCTTCCACAGTTTCAATCACACAACATGGATGGGGAGAGATTTAGATAGTGAGATCCAACATCCAGAATACCAGTAACAAAGAGACCCCTTGCCACACAGTTGAAATCAAAACACATTTCTAAACTACTGACATGGAAATAAGTCGTTTTACATAGTAATCGTGGAAGGAGAATAATCTAGGTACTTAAGAGAGTGAACTCCAGCAGAGCCCCAGGATCCTCCAGCACAGCCTGGAATAGAGACAACAGCATCTTCCCCAGCCAACTTCAGTCACTCTTTATCAGTCCAGCCACCTCACTTATTTTCTTTACATTCTTAATATGCTATGGCAGGAAACAAAGAATGGCACAAGGGTGCATTCTACTGACTGTTCTCAGAACAGGAAATTTTATTATCCAAGTTTTAGTACAAGAAAATAAACTCTGATTGTCAATAAATATCTGAAGTTATCTGGCAGTTAGAAGGATGTTTATAAAACTTTCTACCATCCTTACTGTGAGTGGCACGTTCAATGTAACATGAGAAGACCATCGCAGAGCAGCCAGACTGCATCTACAAAGACTTGTCCCATACAGCAGCTGCTCTGTTACGCATGATATAAATAAAGGCTAAACATTATGGGATCAGCTCACAAAGGAACAAATCTGTCATGACAAATGTGGATAAACACTACAAAATCATTATGTGCAATTCAAACAAAGTAATCTCAGTTCTCCAATACTAGATACAAGTTCTGCTGAAGCCAACACTTATTGTAGGTGGAGTCTATAACACTGAGCTAACATTTCCCTTATTTTTCATTTGGAGGTTTTCCTGTCATTCTTGCTTATAAAACACAGTCAACCACTAATTCCTTGAGGTGGCATTTCTGCTGACAGAATAAAAGGGTCATGACAGAAGTCAACTGAGCAAGAAACATCTTCAAAAAGAGCAAATTAAAATACACTTATCAATTAATGTATAAAGAGAAACAAACAAACACACACAAACACAACATTCACACCAGTTCCACACAGGACTCCTATTCAGTCCTAGTCCCAACTTCCAGAGCTCTTCTCCAGTGTACGCAAAAGCTTCAAAGCTAGTGGGCATCTGCTGAGTAGGTCACTCTTCTCCCTCTTTCAGAGGTTCTTAGAAGCAATTCCTCACACCACCACACCTCAACAGCGTACCAATACAAAAGCTCTTGATCAGATTATAGCTTTCTCAATAACAGCTACTTGCACCCACAGCCACTAATACTTACAGTATACAAAATTCACTATCAATATCAGCTAGAAGTCATCCAGAAGTCTTTCTGCTGCCCCTCCTCAGGCAGCCTTTTTGCCATTCCCCAACATCAAAGTGGATCTGCCTTGTTGACATTTCATCCCTAACTTGCAGAACAGGCTCATGGCATAGTCTGAGCTATGTTTGTGTTCTGTGTAATTACATTATTTTGTTTTTTTCACCATTTCTGTGCTGCAGATACTGAATGTCCTTATCACTGTTTCACAGGATTTCTGATGTTACTGCTGTCACCCCCAGTGTTGGTGGTAAAGGTCTTTACACTCACAGTAAGAAGTTGCTTTCCCCTGAAGGAAGCAGGATTATGTTTCCCAGTTACTTGCAATTGTTACATGTTTGAAAACTTAAAATTCCTCTTCTTTTGGATGCTGCTTATTAGGATTATTTCAAATGTAGTTTGGGCTTCACATCTCCTCATTTTGATTTGTGAAAAAATATGTGTGAATTACAAGTCATTTAAGAAAGAAATGTTCCTTACAACAAAAGGGATATTATTACATCTATCACCTCAGAGTACGTTAGGGTTGGCCTGGTTTAAAACCTCTCATTCTGGAAGATTCTAAACATCCCTTTTCTTTTTTGGAAAAATTAGTTAACAAATTAGCTACTTGAGCTGTTAACAAAAAATAATGAGAGCTGTTTAGTCACAAAATGGAACATGAAACAAGCTCAAAGCTCAAGAATAGCAACAATGCTTGAGCAGTAAGAATAAACCATTGTACCTCTACATCCAAGCAACACCACAGTCCAAGAGGCATGTACCACCTAAAGTACAGCATTATCTTCAAAAAGACTTAGACAAGCTGGAGATTTTTGTTCTCAGATAGATGACTAATATTAGTCTGCAAGCCAGCAGTATTAAAAGGGTGAAAAAAAGTCCTCAAATGGAAGGAGTGTGAAGCAGACTTCTGAGCTGGTGGTAGTTTTAAAAATAACTCCGTAAGAATAATTTTGGGGAAAAATATCCTTGGATACTGCAGTCAGGGCGCTCCTAACAAGCAATAGTGCTTCATGAAAGTTGGCAAATGTTTCAGCCTACCATAGGTCAAACCAGGAAAGAGTACCACATAAATGGCAGAAATTTTTAATTGCATTGAAATGTGGATATAAAGAAATACATTAAAAAAAAAAAAAAAAAAAAAAAAAAGCATGCAAGTGCCAGAACAAAATGCCTAAACTCTTCTTAACAATGGTAATTGTTTTTTAGAATGCTATAAAAAAAACAGTATTTTCTAACAGGTATGTTAAGTGCAATTAGAGAAGCTACTCTGACATTGATGCTTAGCACACAATATGTTATCTTGGTGGTGATTTAATACATTTCTGGCCATTACATTTTGAATTCTATTTAACTTCTGACACGTGTATATGCTTCATGCAGACACATGAAAGAACAGATGTTTTTTGCTGAAGAAACAAGTTAGGATGCCTATAGCAAAGCAACACATACTATGATCTAAATTCTGATACTCCCTGAGAATAGCAAGTTGTCACTATCCAAACACAAAAGCAAAAATGTAGTTATGACTTTGATATGTTGTAAAAAGAGATTTATCATCTAGGGACTGTGCTGATATTTTCCACACTCTACAACTCCTCACTGTACAAAGAACGGTGTGAGATATTCCAGCTACGTAATTTTGATAGTCAAAATTTCAATAAAATACATTAACTTATCTCTAAATGCATTTGTTTCCAAATCTTGTCTATTATTTCCCCATATTTCTCTCTTCCTGACTCCACAAACGTCATTCCTTGTTCAGTGTACCACTGAAAAAGCCAACACTAAACTACCAGTCACTAAGTCAAGCGGCACTAATTCTGCTTTCTTTGAGCTGCTGGAAGACAGCTCACTAGGATAAGCATAAATCATTCCTTTTACAGAGCAAAGGCTTTATTTAATCCCTGAAGGTGCTAAGGTTGGAAAGAGTGGCTGTCAGCCCTCTTTTGAAAACCTCTAAACAGACAGAAGGACTCTTCCACATTTCGAAATGGTGCAAAATATAATTCTGAATAGAATGGCCTAATGATAGGATGTGGGGACTATCATGGGAACATACATGTAAAGCAAACATAAAAAGGAAACTTTTATAGAAGAGGAAGACGGGAAACAGATGGAAGTCTATGACTCAGAAGTCCACCTTGCTTTCCAGTATGCTTAGAAGCACTTCAGCAATGTACTGCAGCTCGTTTGCAGTTCTAAGCAAAATTATGACTAAAGCCAGAGTCTCAAACAAAGGAATTTTTTTTAAAAAAGGACTCAAAAGGTATAAATGCAACTAGAGTTATCAGTTAACAAACATTTGCTAAAATGCCATTACAGAGTTGACCCTGGCTTGACCTTGAAAGTTAAGTGCGGTCACTGGAGGGAAGTACTGCAAGGACAGTGTGGAATTTGAAAGCTGGAGAAGGGCGGACACTGCAAGCCATACTCACCTCTAATGTTTGCATTAGTGTTGGCTTAATTGCATCTTTCATCAAAACTGCCAAGGCACCTGTTACTCCCTAAAAAAAAAAAAAAAAAAAAAGGTTCACATTTTAAGGAAATCAGTTTTAAAGTGCAATGTTTCTGAGCTACGCTTGAGAGTATAGTAAAAACAGGAAAACAAACAACAACTTACAGTCCAAAGGAGAAAGTGTGCTCACAAATTATAATGGCTAAGTAGTATTAGTGTTTCTTAACATGTGTATTTAGTAGTTACCTCAAGATTTCTAGCATATTGCATTACAGTGCCAGAAACAGTAGTGATTGTACTCTGGGTACAATCTGGGTAAAAGACAGAAGATTAATATTCTTCAGAAACAGAATATTAAGTGATCAGCATGAAGATATTCACAGGAAAAAGAAGATCAAGTGGAAGTAAAGGCCTCTGAGATTTGAGAAAACAAGATGACAATAACTTGATAAAATTGCTCAAAAAAACGACAGATGTATTTCTTTCAAGACAGAATCAATAGTGTGAATCAATAGCTAGCAACAACCAGAAAGGGTAACTTGTAAGACCTGTATGTGTAATAGACACAGGAAGAAAGCAGGCAGAGAATAGATAGCAAATGCATCCTAAGATCAAAAATTAGATGTGCCTCATTGTGATGACAAGAGGACAAAGGGACCTGAAGGAATTACAGTGTTCTAGTTTTAAAAAACATCTTATTCTTCCCTAAAAATTTTGCTGGATATTAAGTATAAATTTCACATTGAATAATTCTAAAAGAGAAAATCATGACATCCTCATACAGCATTTACACTAAAACTCAATGTCCATTTTATTAAAAAATAAATAAATTGAATATGCACAGCACTATCAAACTACAAGCAGAGTGCTATCTAGAAACTAGAAAACATACATTCCTATTTATTCTTAAATTATTTACATTCTGATAAGATAACTTGTTTTTGAAAGAACTCAATCATGGATAGAAAAAACAAAAAGTAGCAGTTTTACAAGGAGTAACTCAAAGGTTTGCCAGAGAACAAAAAATTATTTTAATACATTATTATATTGAAAAGAAACATTAAAGCCAAATAAACATAAAAGCTGCCATGAAGTTTTTAAAATTAAGGTTGAAAACCATGAATCTGTTATCTGAGTAGCCTAACTGTATATATACAACTAATATATATAGCTCATAATTTAACTAATATACTATATAACTATAATAATCTAACTAACATAACTAATAATAATATAACTACAACTAATATATATAGCTAATAATATAACTAATATACTATATAACTATAATAATCTAACTAACATAACTAATAATAATATAACTAATAATCTATATAACTAGCTGAGGAGCCAAACTATAACCTTCAAAGAATAGCAACAAAAATAGTGTCTGTGCTAAAATTACACTGTGTTAAAATTCTCATGACAGATGAGAGACACTAAAGTACACCATCATTACATAAATATAGCATTTCTACATGCATTAAGATTCCCCCTAAGTATCACACCTGAACTCACACTTAACAAGAAAACAAAGGATTCTGTTTGACCTCAGATAAAAATGAATTAAAAGCAAAACAGTACAACTGACTTCTACTAAAGCACAGCAAATGTTACTTTAGAGAAGAGTTAAGGGAAGGACCTTTTTCCCCCCATTTTGGAAACCCGTAGCATCTGCAAACCCCAACAGATTCACAACAATGTAGTGAGAAACAGGTAGCAAAACAGTCTTGTCTTCCCTCTTCTGAATTGGAAAACAGCTGCTAACATTGTTTCCTTTGATATCATCTAATTCAGTCTCCACAATTTTTCTAAAGTAGGCATATTTTTAGGCTACTAAATCTTAAATCTGTTTAATATAACAGCTTCCTTTATAAAAAAATGATTTCATTCACTCCTAGAATTTGAAGAACTTAGAAAATAAAACAGCAAATTTCCAGTTCCACCTTTAACAGTTTAAAATGACACAGAACAAGTTTCATTAAAACCTAGATCTTAATCCTTCTAATTTATGAAAACAAGTACATTCTCTTCACTATTTATTACAATCTGGAATTCAAATTCATGAAAAAAAAAAAAAAAACCCAAACAGTTTTCAATACCTCTAATTAACAGATCTATAAAGCCTGTTGTTTTCCCGTTTTTTGTTTTTTGTTTTTTTTTCTTAAATCATTTCCAAGCCAGCTGATATAGCTTTCCTGAGATCAGTGGCACAATTCTATTCCACCACCACAAAATGAAACATAGCTTATGCTGAGTTGCTAGCAACATAGCTCTGTAACATCTAGGTGAGTTCTTCATGTTCTGTCTCACAGAAAGCAGAAGCACATACATGCACTTGTCAGGAGGTTACAGGCAATAGAAATATCTGAAGAAGTTGTTTGATTTTACTCAGTTTCCTCCTCTATCTCAGTTTTTCCAATGTTATATAGCATAAGTTACTCATTTGCCATCCGCCCGTACGCTAAAAGAGAAACAGCTGGTGATACTTTCAGTGTGTGGATACTGAAGTAGTTTACAATCTTAACATGTAAAAGGCAATTGTAATTGTAAAAGCGAATCAAATTTCAGAGGAAAAAATGCCAACAGAAAACTTTACATCAGGTCTACCAACTGGTCAATGGCAAGGTTAACTACCTGAGCAGCTAGGGATCAGCCCTAATGCTCTTCTTAGGAAACCTGCTGGAGGCTTGACAAGTGTTAACTCATGCCAGCTGTAACACCTGACTAGAAGTTTCTGTCATCTGCTTCATGCTTGCCAAGACCACCAAGCTCATTGTTCAGGACAAGAATGCAAACCACACTGACTGGAGAGAAGACCATGGGGGAGAAGATGATGATGATGACAAAGATAAAGAAAAAACTAAAAGTAATGCTTTCCCCCCCCTTCCTCTTCAAGTCAGTAATGACTCATATATTCTTTCCTTTGATTTCTGATAGTTTTTCACCAATCTGGTAAAACAGGGAGGCAAAAAAAAAAAAAAAAACAACAACCAAAAAAACAAAAAAAACCTTTCTATGCATTTCTACTTTATCAAAAACTTTATTCATACTAGATGTGCATCTGGACACAGCTCATTGTATCATTGTATTCCTTGCTGAAAACAAGGAAAAGCAGATGAAAAGACTTGAGTTAGTGGACATCGTATCTATCTGCCTTTGTAGTTTTAAATACATTTGTGTCAACAAAAAAATTACCCTACATTTTCAAATCTGTCTGCCATAACTATCAAAATAATTCTTCATTCCCTTCTATCTCCAGTCCTCCAAGCAACTAGCAAACAATTGCCACAGCTCATTAGATCTGATTTGCAAAAATATTTGAGGAATCAGGTTCTCTTTTCTAATTCAGAGGAGGTAGGTAAAAATTTCCTTAAAGGAATTAGACACTTAAGACACTTACACACCAATTAAGTGTGTAAGGAGCCTAAGGATCATTATCTTTCTAATAACTCACTGCTAGGAGAAAGAAGTTGAACTCATTATTGAATGTAATATGGATACCCATCTCTCTTGGGTTCCCTACTGGAACCATTATAAAGTACTTGTGAAAATAATACCCCTTTCCATGGTGCAGACATGCTCCCCAGGACAACACAAAGATCACAGAGCAAGAAGTAAATTAAAATTACATGACACAGGAAAAGCAAACTTAAATGAAAATCCACTCTTTCAAAATCACTTCCACAGGAACAGTCTCTGGAGTTTATCAAGAGTGGAAATGAAAGCCAGCAACAGATGATAAGGAAGGCCACTGAAAGTAACTACTGAGAAATAAGGGTTACACAGACTGAAGGGCAAAGAAACATTGCATTTCTTTGTAAGAAAAATAACTAAGTATATATAACTTCCTTTTGTTTGAAACTATAGTCTCTAATAAAATGATAATATTTTTCTGCAGTATCAGTTCTGTAAAAAACTGAATCTTAAGCTGTAAACCAAGAAGGGCTGCAACTACTTGTGTCTAAAGTAAAGTATGTACACACTGTTTCTGTTGAACCAGTGAACAAAACATATTCAGCTGACAGATCATTTATAAAAATAAATATGAAGCTTTTTTTCTGTCTTGGAATTATTGAAATCTAACAGCATGGTACAGAAAGCAAACTGAGAAGTCTTACATGTCGCTATTCTTTTTTAAATATTTAATATTTTTCATAGCTGCTGAAATACTTATCTAGGGCATACATACCCATTTAATTTCACATGAAGATATGGCATGTGTCCATCAAACGTCTTATATACAGTATGAGCCAAAAAACAATTCAGTCTTCAAAATACTGTGCAATGAACACCACATTTTGGCAAAGACTTCTATACGTTTCATTACAGAGGCCAGATATTTAATCCATTACTCTTGTGGAAGAAGTCTTCTCAACTCATGAAATATTCAATTTATCTTTTTTCTATTATCCCTAGCCGGCTGCTGCATCTGTTTTACATCTACCAATGTGTATTTTAGGTTTTACCATTGTATTATTATAAGTATATTGAATATAACGTCAAAATTAAGAGCAATTGTATTTTTGTGAAGTATAGTGCGTGTACTTCTGGAAACAAATCACAGAGAAAGGTTTAGTGGTTTCGGTTCAAATAGATTTCAGTGAACTAAGGACTACTGTCAAGCATTTAAACTTCTATAAATTCAACCTTGTCACATATATAAAAAGACAAACTCCAGAATTTATTTATTTTTATAGTTGTAGGTAGCGTTGACCAGGCCCCATTAGTCATGTTCTGTGTGTACTTCTCATCATAAAGCTGTTTCTAAAATTTGTTATAAGCAACCACAGTTCTTTGGGCTAAAATGTTCCATACCAAACCAGCTATGGTAAATTCAAGCTTTTAATCTTGATCGTGTCTTATGAAAACATAAGCCAAAATGATTGAACTGCTCTTGGAACGAGAGTACTGGAAAAGCAAGTTATCATTCAGTTGTCTCGAGTTCTTCCCTTTATGAGTTGTAAAGGTTTGGGTTCTTTAGTCTTTGTTGGTTTTTTTTGTTTGTTTGTTTGTTTGTTTGGCCTCTTCTCTGCCTCTGATTCTGAAGAAGAATGGCTTCACTTTGAACCTCTTATCACATCCTAAAATCTACTAAAGGTAATAAACTCCAAAAAACCAAAGCTACAGTTCACAGATATTCATTTGTGAATGCTCAGTTCTGCCTTGTCCTGTTGATAAAGCTTTGGCTGCAATACACAGTGTGCTTATAGCCTAGAATGTAGCAACAATATCTCCACTCTGCATCAGGCTTTTAGTCTGGACATCCATACTACAAGCAAAGATGTCTTCCCCTTGATCCTAAAAGAATGAGGAGGAGACAGAACCTGAGCAGTCCAAAGCATCAGGAATCAAAAGCTGAGCTTGCAGAAGGACAGTTACGTAAGGCAGCAAAAGCAGCAGAAATAGAGTGAGTATTGAGATTAAAGTCTAGAAATAGAATGCTTAGTTGCAAGCTACTCAAACAGACTGATCGCCACTAGGAATAAGGCTGAAAAATAGTTGAAGCACCACTCTAGTGAACTGAAACTTATCTTTCTGCGTGTGTATGACTTATGGCATCATATGGTCTTCGTTTATACATCCCCTGCTATTGTTTCCAGAGGATTCAACTTTCTGCAGTACATTTTCACAGTTATTCATAAGCATGCTTCCCCTTACACAAAGTAACTAGTATTCAATTTGATAATTTGTCCTTTTAGGACATTTCTTAAAACCTAGTATCATGACATCTTACTTCTTCACCAACATTAATAACTATAAGGAAGTGAACATGCAAAAATTAAACTCACAAGTATTCACTAACTTGGGGTGCCCACTCTATGACAACATAAAAATAATTTCTTCTGATCCCATTCAAAGTCAGTTTTTCAACCTTCACATAGATTTGACTTGTTTAGATTCCAGGTATTGCACCACATGGAGGAACACAGAACTCCTCCTATACTACCTGATTCAGAGACAGCACAAACTGTGAAAAACAAAATAACAAAATTCAACTCTCTGAAAAGGCACTTTTCTGCCTTAACCATGAAACCACACTACTACTCTTCCTATAGTTTTTATCCTCACCTTTACCACATTCTGCAAGAATGTAGGAGTTTCTCCACAATTACAATCTGCACTCAAATCATCCCTACACATAATATGAAGAGAACTTGAAGAATGCAACAACATAGCTGCAGATGGTACTAATACATATTCTTGACACTGTGGCGTTTTTTGTTGTTGTTGTTGTTTTTCTGTGTAGTTCTTCCTTTGTATAACATAGAACAATATAGAACAGTGCTTTAAAGAGGTATTGGAAACATAAGTAACACTATCAAACAACTGAAGCACTAAGCATAGTAAGTTTGTTTAGAAAATGCCAGAGAAAACCAAATTACTAAGACACTTTATTGAGCATAAACTTCATTTTATGAACCTAATGGAAACCTTTTCAAGTAATTTCTGCGTTGTTCATAATCTCAGACCTAGCATATTTTCACTGAATTATAGATGAAAAAAACTACACAAGAGCAACTGTTCTCTTACATCAAGCTGACTAACGCTAAGTAGATTAAAATAGGTTAAATATTTTGCACTATTAATACATTAAAGTACCTTTACAGTACACTAGCAACAATAATTCATTAAAGACATTGCATATCCATTATAAGGTAACTTGTTTCCCCTCCCTCTGCCAGTTGAGTCCAAGTTATGCAATTGGAAAGGAAACACAAAGAAAAAAACTGCCATCAAAAACATTACAGCTCTTCATAAAGGTTATTCCAAAATTTATAACTGATGAAAAGATGCCTTCGAATGGAAGTTTGCTGAATAAGTGGGAGTAGTTTTTGCCTTTAATTTTAAGGATGACCATTGTTAAAAATTTTCATACTCCTATCGTAATTTCAATCTCAAACTTATGAATGTTAGATAGTACAATTTCATTTATTTATTAAAATTGAAACTACCGTGGTTGTGAAGATATTCCTGGCTTGTGGATTTTCTATCTTTGATGACAAGGTGCCTTTTGCTCATTCTCCAGTACCTGAAGGGGGCCTACAGGAAAGCTGGGGAAGGACTTTTTATAAGGACGTGTAGACACAAGACAAGGGGAACAGGCTTCAAAAATTACGAGGGGGTAGATTCAGACTAGATATTAGGAAGTGGTGAGACACTGAAACAGGTTGCCCAAAGAGGCTATGGATACCCCCTCCCTGGAAGCATTCATGGCCTGGCTGGATGTGGCTTTGAGCAATAACCTGGTTTAGAGGGAGGTATTGCAGGGGATTGGAACTAGATGTTCTTACAGGTCCCCTTTCACCCAAAACTATTCTACGATTCTATGATTCTAGTAAGTTTGTGCAGTAGTCCATCACAGTGAACTTACTCCTGGCATAAACTTGGGTTGCAAGGTGTAACTCTAGACTTCACAAGAACCAGTCATAAAGAACCAGGTACACATTTGCAACCACTGTCTTCTGACTTATATTCTGGCTAAAAGGGCTAGGATTTGACATAAAGGAACAACATATTAATCTCTTTCATAAGTGCAAGTAGAAAATCAGTGATGACTTAATGATATGAAGAGATAACACTGTCCCAAGCATTATTAATAATTAAGAATAACATGCTTTCATTCTGATCTCATGTCATAAACATTCATGTCTTAACTATCACTGTAACACCTGAGCACTCTTCACAAACACAGTAGCAAAGATTACCAGCTCTCTCTCTCTGACTCACTCAGTACACCAAAACTGCTTGCCTTAAGAAACTGCAGAAGCCTATCCAAGTAGGCTGTGGAGAACAGGCACTTATGAACCAGATGTTACCTGAAAACTTGGAAGAATAAGTTCTACATCTTGTTTGCATTGCAAGCAAGTTTTGGCCCAGATGATCTTTCTTCAGTTTCTGAATGTGCTGTTCAAAGCATAAAGCTTGGCATGCACCTGCCTTTCTAATGCTTCGAGAGGCAAAACAAACAGATCACAGTTTATTCACAGGTACACAGCACTAAACATACCAAATCCTCTGCTGTTACAGGTTCTCCCTTCTTGTCATTAGCCACCACGATTTTCCCCAGTCTTTCCTTCATATCTTCCAGACTGGTGGTAAGTGCAAGGATGGCCATAATTTCACTTGCAACAGCAATATCAAACTGTGCCTGTAAAACAGAAATGAGAATCACGAGTCAAATCAAAGTCACGTCAAATACAGGAAATCATTGGGAAAAGATTTAGAAAAAACAGAGTTAAGGTTGGAATTCAAACAGGTTCTACGTTGTAACCCACAGGTTTTGAGATTACTCAAGCTAGACTAACTGCAAAACATTTTGCTTATATTTCTTCACTAATGCTCTCTGTCACACTTCATTTACTTGGGGACCAGTACTACGGAGTGCTTAGCCCATTGGCTCACACTGTCCCTAGCAGAAACACCCTGAAGGACCAAGAATTTCTTCTGCAAAATAAATAAATACATAAATAATAAAAATCACCAGATGTCTTTTTAGCTTTACTAGTATAAGCACAACATTGTTTTTTTTTGTTTTTTTTTTTTCCATCCCATAATGCTCTCCATATTTTTTTGTTCTTTAATTCTGGTTTCAAAAACATTTTTGTTACATTTGATCACTCTTTTTCTACATAAATTCAAAATTTGCAAGACTGCCAAGTCTTGTGCTTGATCCATGATGATGGAAAGCATATCCCTCCTGTACTTTTAAAAATGAGTAAATATATATTAGGGAAGAACAACAACAACAACAAAATGAAACAAAATAAGGACTATATGCTGCAACAATCCTATTACTTCTCTAAAATTACAACAAGTAGTGCAGTACCTCAGCAGTATTTTTATTTTAGAACTTGCAGAACACGTTAGCAGTATTTGTAATGATTTACTATTAGTAAAGCCAAGGCCAAATGCTGCCACAACGTAAACAGAAAAGCATATTCTTATAGCATTAATACATTAATATACAATACATTAATGAAATGGGGGTAAAAATGAGAACAATTTCTCCATATTTGCCTGTCTTTAGTTTCTGTCATGATGATTACAGCCCAGAGCAATCTTCTTGAGGCTGACCTATATGTACTTGCATGCTTAGTCAAAACTTGTGAGGACACAGGAGTACTTCCTGGACTTGGCAAAACCAGGGAGATGCACACAATATGGAAAATAAGAATTCATGCTGTAGGTGAGATTTTCAGCATAGCAATTCCAAAGAAATACTAAACTTGCAATATAAATTTTCTGTATTCCTTAGTAGCTGTTCTATATGGAAAAAAAACAACTGCATGCACAATTAACAGGATTGAGATGGCCTGGAAGCTACTATCTTTTCTCAAGTTACAAAGAGAACCCCTGTAAGCTATTGCACAAATGTAAGACAGGAAATACATCTCAGAAATCTATGCTTAATCCATACAATAGATTATTATCTAACTCCATCAGGATGTATATCAGGAGGCAAAAATTAAATTTTAATCATTGATGTTGCTGTGTAAACCTATAAGGCCAGAAAAAGTATCCCAGGTAGATGCTCAATGAGTGACAATATTTAATTGAAAAAAAAGGCACAAAAGATTTTACTATCAGATGCTATTTTAACTCTTAATAACCTTTACACACCTATGAAGTGCTGACAGAAGCCTTAGCTGTAAAGCCAGTTCTCTATTGATGAAAGGATCCACCCACATGGATTCAATTGCAAGATCAAGGCCATCAGTCATGTAATACTCTTTAGAAATCACAGAACCCCTCTTCATTAAAATGCATACTTTTGTGCCTGCTGTGCTCTGCCATTTTACACAGGTGTCATTGATTTTAAGAGTGCTAGAACATCACTCCAAATGTTTATAAAATGCATCTGTTAACTATGAAGTCCTGTTTTATCTGGATCTTTGGCTAGTCCTTGAAATGAATTTTCTAACTGTTCTCTATTTCTCAAGTCAGTAAGACCATGTTAAAATATAAATGGCTATGCATCAATCCAAAGCATCAAAATTGAATGCATCGAAGTCATTTTAGCCAAAACAGTACAGAAGCAACTAGTCAACTAGTACTCTACTGTAAGACAACTCACATTTAATCGATCAGCATAATTGTGGAAGTAAAATGCTGCACGCTAAGGATGGCAGGCTGAAAGAAATCTGAACATATGAAACCATCTCAGGCATTGAAGAAACATGTACCAAAGTATTGCCCCAGCCCATTAGCAAAGACAAGTCTCAGCTAATATTGAGTTTTCTGTAAGTGACAGACTGAAAAGTTTCTACCCTATGTGCTCAAAACCAAAGGAAATAACCATTTCCCTTCAATTTCTCTCTCTGGGCTGACTGTCTTAAATGCTGAACTGAACAAAAACATTAGCACTAGTTTTTATTCTCTTTATTTAGGCACAAAGATCAGTGAAGGTCTGAAATTACAAAGAAGGTGGTAAGAGTTCCAAAAAAAAAAAAAAAAAAAAGAAAAGAAAAACTTTATCTATGCCACAATAACTAATTCATTTCTCAGCAGACAGAGCTTCATGAATTTCATTATCCAGACTGTTAGATAACAACAATCATCATCAATTTTGCAGCAGCTTCACATCATTGCAATGACTCTGTTCCACCCGGAAGAGCTATTCTACATTGCATTGCTTCACATCTGGATTTGCCCAAACCACACCATGAACACTAGTTCAGATAGTGTCAGTAAAATCTTTCAAGTTATCTTTAAGACTTCAAACAATTTCCAGAAGCTCTTTTATGGTAAAATATAGGTTAGCTTTCTATACCACTGAAAAGTACACCCATTATCATTTTCAGAACGACGCCTTCAAGACAACATATTAAAATTAAGCACATGCTCAAAGGTCTTACATTTTTACATTCCAAAGCTGAGATGCATGACAGGAAAATGAAAACTTCAATAAAAAGTTAATGGTCACTTTCAGACCTCAGTAATTGGACCAACAACACATGATGCTCCCCCTCTTCTCCAAGGTTTTCTTAAACACCAAATTGAAATGTAATTTAAATTACATACATGCTTCGAGGGATTTAAAAATGAAAATAAAATAGAAGAGAAAAATGGTACAGATTAACCTTAAAAAGGCAAAGGTAAATGTACCTTCTATATTCATAAGAAGACAAGGTTGAACTGCTACGAATTTTTTTTCAAGTTCTTTCAACACTTTGTACAACATACACCAATTCCTATTCCTGAAACTTCAGTTACTCATTAACACAATCAGATGCACTGCAAGAATGCTATACAGTATCAACTTGATGTTAGCACTGCAATTCAAAGAAACATTTTGAAATAATTCCAGGATAACAAACATCTCAGACTCTGAAGCAAAGCTTGTCCAGAATGTGATATATTAACCACTTTTACATACCTGACGGACAAATCCTTTTTCTGTATTTGCCTGGCCAATCGTTATCTTGCGTAAAAATCTGTCATTTGTATCCACAACTGAAATAAGGGAATAGCAAAACATATTAACAAGGACTTGGGGATCTGCATTATTTCCAGGCATACCTGTTATTATGCATGTAAGATTCAGCTGCTTGAAAAGCACTGTTTAACATGCTTCCACACGTCAGCATTTCTTGGCTTCTATTGTTTTTTTTTGGCTTCTATTTGATACCATTAGATAACAGATTGAAATAACTAAAATACAATTTCTCTGAACAAGATTTTCAGCTAACAGATACTCAACATTCTACTGCACTTAATGCTTTACTTATGTATGAAAAAAATCACCCTTTGTACCTATAATGCACCTCAGACCTACTTCAAATCATTTGCTTCTTTGTTGACTAGTAAAGAATTGATTTTTAAGACCACTTAACACTATTCTGTTTCTCTTTAAAAGGATGATTATGTTGTCACATTGATTCATCCACACAAGTTACTTTCTTGCACATCACAGCAACTCCACATTCAGCTGCACAGTTTTCGAAAGGAAGGTTTTTTCCAATTGCTAGGATCAACCATCTGCTGTTGAGCACAACTTCAGTTTTAGACAACTGCCTTTCCAAATTTGAAAGGCTTTGTTTTGCAAGAGCATGTCCAAATTGTCTTGTTGAACTGCTAACTTCACTAACAATCTCAGCAATCCACATTCTGTACTGACAACACAAAACTTCAGATATGCTGAACCAAAAAGGAGTGGGAATCATAAAAAAACACTCATCTGCTGAGAATTTATCAGGATGTTTCTTAGGAAGAAACACCAGGAGAATGTTTCTGCTAGAAAAAGAGACTGAACTTCAAGATCCATCATTCCCAAAAGGGGCAATCCCTACAGAATACAAAATCCCTGTAGAATATAAAAACAAATGCCCTCTTTCTTATAGGTTCTTCAGCTCTACTGATGTTTTGGTCTGCAACAGCCCTAAAATAAAGAGTGGAAGATACTCTCGAGCAGCTGAATCTGTAGCTTGCATGAAGACAATTTTCTGGTAGATGTAGATCAAAATCCTGTTCATTTCAGGGCTGAGAATCAAGGGTATCCAGAGAGGCTGTCTATATAGAAGATCAGATACATTGTGTCCTTCCTCTTTTCCTGCTGTTTTTGGAAAGTAACATATTTGTTTGTCCAGTAAAGGACAATGTAATTACTGAAGAGGGACTTCAACTCCCATTCCTACACAAGTCCCAATTCAGTGTTGTGAGTGGGCTGGGAGAAAAGCAAGATTTCAACCACTTCCTCTTACTAGGCATTTCTCATGGAGCTTCTGTAATTACCACGTGTTTTCCTCCCACTACATGGTACTTAGGTCCCTAATTTCCTCAGGAATTCCATTCAAGGGATGATACAACATGCATTTGGTTAATTCCTTTTGGTTTCTATTTATATATGTTCTAAAATACTAATAGAAATGGCAGAATAGAACATATAAGAAACACACAAACAAACAAATCCAAAACCATTATAGACACAGTTAATAAAAGAAAGATAAGATTTGTGAAATGCACAGAAAATACAGTTTTAACGTGTTTTAGGATGTGAGGGAGACAAGGGACGTATCTAAACTGTCACAATCTATTCTTCAGAACATTAGTGAAGTCTCTTGAGAAGAGATATTTAACCAAGTTAAAGAGCAATATACTGCTTCCAGATTCATTATGTACCTCAATTTCTCTCTTGCAAATGAGTTGTTCTTAGATTCACAAAGCAAATAGCTCTGATTCAGGTAGAATTAAGCAAATGATACAATAGCCAAGCTGAAATGCAGCTTTCTGATTACAAACCTCGTTGCCATGTTATGGTAGAAGGGTCAATATCAAGGCGCACAAATCTACTGATCTCCTCTTCTGTTAAAGTCTCAGGATCAGTCTTATTTATTCCCAATCTCTACAGACATTAAAGAAAAACAATAACTTTTTTGCTTCAAATGGTACAGCTGCTCAGGCTTACTGCACCCATGTTATGCATGCACTTGTGAAAGAAGCAAGTCAGAATCAACCCCACCTTTTTTTTTAAAAAAAAAAAACAAGCACATAGGAAGGCATCTAAGTAAAACAGGAATACTGGTGATGAAGAAATGCAATGAAAAAGGAGAAATACCCATAGACAAGTAAATGAGAAAGCTCCTTCTGATACAGAAGAAACTCTCAATATAAACCGAAGAGAAAATTTAACCGTATCAATCGCTAATAAAAAAGATGATTAACTGCTTGCTCTAGGTTGTGAAAATCTTTAACATGTATCATCTTGCATGAATCATCTTTGAATGAAATAAAAAATTCTGCTCAGATAGCCCATAAATTCAGTGATGTATAATGAATTACCCAATATTGGCTGTTACAGATTCAGGATTTCAACACCACCAAACATTTTTTTTTAGGTGAATCTACATAAGGATGCATGAATTGAAAAATTCTGTTTAAGAACTGCGGTCTTCAAAAAACTTTCTCTGGCAACAGAAAGCATTCCTCAGCAAACTAACCAGGCAGCACACAAGTATTTTTAAAACAACAGAAGCTGGTATTGCCTCTATCCTCCTTTTCACCCCCTAATTCCAAGTGCAGCTCTGCATGCTCTTGGCAGCTATCCATTGCCATCCAGTGGCTCTGAAACAATACTGAGCAGGACTCAAAAGCCAACAACCACCATGGAAATGGACACAGAAGACTGAAATTGTTCTTGAGGTTTATGTTAAGGGGTTCATATTCTCTTTCCTTAACACTAGTTATGATTGTATTGTTGGGTACTTATTTATCTGAATGGCAGTTTGAAAACTGGATACAGCATTCATACATGAATTGTGTATGAAATTCTTATGTAAGCACAACAGGATGCTGAAACACTATGCACACAGATATAGTTCTGTCCCTCAGAAAGAACACTGTCAATAATCATCTATAAAATCCCGTCAGTGTATGCTACAATAAACTTTCAAAAATCAGAAAATATTACAACATCAGAGAATCTGAGCTTTCAAATGTGACTTCACCATAATAGGAAAAGTATTTTAAAACTCCAATATATTGTAGGGAAAGACACTACATTTGAAAAACATTACTGGTTTGTTTCAGGAGAAAATAGCAAAAATGCTAGTTATGACAATAATATCAGACCCAGACCCTATTACTTTAGAGAGAACGCTTTTAGAAAGAGCTGGACTTAATAAACTCATGAGTTTCATACAAACTTGGCCCCTCATGTCAAATATTTTCCAAAAAATTGCACAACAGAATCCTTCATAAAGACATACCATAATTGAAGAGAGACAACATTAACAACTTACTCTCAGACGGGCAAGCTGAATAGAAGAAAATCCTCTCACACCTTTAACTGCTGGAACCAGCCTATTATATAAAGCCTAGAAAAAAAAAATACAAATACATTTTAAGTTTTTAAAATAAGCAGCTCCTCTTTTCCTTTTATTTAGATTAGTTTCAGTATGAATTTCTCAATGACACAAGCTGTGGACTTCTGATTTAAAAGAGTTCTGAGAAGGCAGTAGGCTTTTAAACAATGCCTATGATCTAATAGCCTAAATTCAATTATTAAAACTACTGTGTTTCTATGTCTCATAGAAAAAATATGCATTATTTTTGAAACTGGGAATCCTTTAAAATTCCAACAAAGGGCCAAATTACTCAAACTGTAACTGTTACTTGCAGATCAGCCTAAACAAATCTTGCCCAGTTGGAAAAAAAAAAAAAAAAAAAAAAAAAAAAAGGCAATTTCTTCATTTTCTCTTTAAATACTCAGGTTAGCTTTTGGTTAAACACCACAAAAAGATTTAGTAGAGAGAAGAGGATCTGGTTTATTTTTACCACATCTTATTCTTTGAGTATATCACAAATAACTTTGTATCAGAAGGATAATTTTTAACTTTAAAAGACTGTACAAATTATTTAAAATATATGTAGAGAGAGAAAATATATTTCATTAGACTCCTTAGCATAGTCTGAAACAGCTGACAAGTTTCTGGACATAAGATTCTTATCTTCAGACTCTCTTATGATAGATGTCTGCCAGAAAAATATATTCTATAAGCAGTATTTCCCAGCATAATACAGTATGGCTTCAGCAATTGTTTCCATTCACACAGTGAAAATATAAAAAGACAGCCAACTTACATAATTTGAAATGCAATTTATGAAAAAATGAAAATAAAAAAACCATCACATGGTTATTAGAAAACAATTCTTACCTTATCGGATTGAGTGCTCTCATGCAAGATCCTAGCATCAATAGCAGCAGCCAGCAAATTATTTGCAGCAGTTATAGCATGAATATCTCCAGTCAAATGAAGATTGAACTAGACAGGAAAAATTATAAACTTCTTTTAATAAGAGGTTTTTAACTCCATTAACCTCAGACATTTATTGAGCAAAGAATACTACCATATCCTTGAGGTTGCAGCTGAAATTAGTCACCTATGTAGATGAAATATCACAGGCTGAGCTGTAGGAAGAACCTGTTTTCACCAAGTACTTGGTCAACGACCCTCGGCTTACACAAACAAAGCCATAGATGTCTTATTTCTTTCCTAAAAGACCCAAGAATGGAAAACCCAAGGCTACGATCCTACTTCACTGATACTAAACCAGTTTTCTACCAGCAGCGTGAATTTGACCTGGATCAGATGTGCAGATTTTTGCCAAATTCCCCAGAGAACACGATGCCTGCTGGCTTTCTGATTTCATGCCAGTTTTCTGCAAGTCACAGGAGAACAGGCAGAACCAGATTAGGCACAAAATTTGCTGACACAAAGTTTGTCCAATGAAGTTGTGGGGGAAAATCTGAAATAGGCCAGTTAGATTAGATCAGGACTTGCTTTACATAGGTATTTTATTTCTCATATCTGTACCTGACACAAAGACATAGAAAGTCAGTTTTAAATGCACTGTAGTAGTATTGACAGCTAAGAAGCACCACCAACAGTTGACACCAGCACTTGACCGTGATTGTACTCAAGTGCAAATGGTTTCTGAATGCTGCATGGGTACTCTGGAGCAACTGTGCATCTCCCCTGTGGCACTTCATCAGCCTGGAATTCTCTTTCCTCAGAACTGCAGTCTATTTCAGGTTGGCAAGGACCCCTGTATGTCATTTGTCTAATCCCTCTGCTCAAGTACAACTTCTTGCCCAGGACCAACTGCATGTCACCAACAATCATTAAGGAAGAGATTACACAGTCTTGCTAGGCAGCCTGTGCTAGTGTTCCACCATTCTCACAGTACAGAAATGCTCCCTGATGTTCAGAGGGAACCTCCTGTGTTCCAGTTTATGCCCATTACCTCTTGTCCTGGCAATGGACACCATTGAAAAGAGCTCCACTTCCTCAGCACCTTCCCTTTCAATATTTATATGCATTGATAAGATTCATCCCCTTCTCTTTTACAGACTGAATGGTTCCAGCTCTCTCTGCATTTCCTCCAAGGAGAGGTTCTCTAGTCCCTTAGTCAGTCCTGTGGCCCCGCAGTAAACTCTCACCACTATGTCCACATTTCTCTTGTACTGACGAGCCAAAGTGGGATTAAATCATTATGCATTTCCAAACAAGCATAGTGAACATACACATTAGATGAACAAAACCATTCTAATTTGCCTCGTCACTCAGGGAATATGCTTGCATTTTATTCTCCAGAAAACAAAACTCAACTGCCTGCTATAGTGCACACATGTCTTTGAGCACACAGTGAAGTGTACTACAGGCAAAGGAAAGGCTGAGCAAGGCATCTAGCACATATGGTAACCACCAGCTAACAAAGACTACAACACATGGTTTATGTTTCAGCCCATTCGTAAGTCTGCAGATCCCTCAGCCTTAGCATGGTGACTGCTGTGCTAAGGGACACAAAGGCTTCACTGACATTACCACAGCTTTCATAATGGGAGTATTTTGAAAGCACCCACCCAGCCAAATTCTTCAAGAGCCCATATGATTTTCAGAAGTCTTTGAAGAGTGGTGGTAACACCATTTTCAACAGAAAGCCACTTGCTTGTGAAACAGGAAAGTTACAGATTAATTCAGAGTAAGAAAACAATTCTTTCACATTCAGTGCCATGTGATTAACAGCTGGGATGTTATAAACACATATAGGAATTGTGCAGTGGCTTTCCAACCCTGCGCCACAGTCCTGATACATCTCGGAGCAGTCACATGAAGATAAAGACCACGCCAGCTCTTCAGAAAGACTGTCACCAAAGACCAAACACTGCTGAAAACACTTTGCTCTGCCCACCCCTCCCAGGAGACAGTGTTTTGCTGTTTCCACTGTTGTCTCACCTCCTCCATGGGAATCACTTGAGCGTATCCACCACCAGCTGCTCCACCTGCACAAGAAAGTATGTGGTCTTATCATACTCACATCAGTTTTGGGGACAAAACCCAACACCTTAAACACACAAACTGAAACACAGTTTTGAAGATATACTCTCTCAGTTTTCAGATTTCTACTAGGGAATAAATGATGTACTCAAATAAACAGGATTTCCATAATTTCCGCATTTTTCATCAGGCAATAAAATAGGAATTGTTGAACTGAAAGGAAATCTTTCACCTAATAGCTGGCCCAGAATTTGACTAAACAAAGATTACCCTCTGTTCCTGTCCAGAGTTATGGCACAGTCATGCACATGCAGCAGTTCAGTAGAAAGACAAAGTAGTCACGAGCAAGCATTGCTTCTGAATGAAACTTTCACACCCTTCCCTGAGCATTCCTTCCCCAGTGCCTTCCACAGTACAGGCAAAAGTGTTTGTTGCAGCCTACACAGAAGTTGAGTGGTGGGATTAATGCACTCACATGCACCAGTCTTAGCTGAGAAGCACCAAGCACCAGGAGTCTTCCAGCTGAAATCAAACTTGTTAACTTAAACTTCAGCAAAGCAAAGAAGAGCAGATGGGAAGTGTTAGCCCAGTTAGGCACAAATCTCAGCTGAGAAATACCAACAACAAAACAAACAAACAAACAATAACAACAAAGATTGTATTACTTTCAATCAGCATTGAAGAGAAGCTTGAACTCTAGCTGGCTCTTGGCCCTCAAGCCCTTTTAGACAAAAATGCAGCAGCCCAGAATTTGGAGTTCTAGGAGATAAAGGTCAGTCAGCCCTAGCCAAATGTATGATGCAGGCCCAGCAGAGCTATACATATCACTGTCAGCATCATAGGTTTGGATATTTCAAATCAATATAGGTGGACTTTGGACTCCTCCTCAAAGAGGATTAAAAAGTAACTATTAGAAATGTCTTTAAGAGTGTTTCCAGGCAGAGGAGTGGCTGGAAAGGAGTGTACCCACAAGAGCCACCTTCTGGCTAATTCATCTCCATGTCTTTCATTATGTTCAGCCTTTATATGCATTATCAGTACACATAAGTACATGAACACAAGCATGAACCTTGCACCGGAAGACGTGTGAGAGAAACTCTCAGTGATAACTTATTTAAAAATAGGAGATTTACTCTGAAAATAACGTTTCCTGTTTTATCCTGTTGACCCATGATGTCAGAGGCAGATGTTGGAGGAATGGCAGCAAACGTTGAACTTTCCCAGCAATGTTCTATTACATTATGTTGCCAGGCAACAAATGGCAGTAGAGGGGCAGCCTGACAAAAAGGCGCCTGACATGGGAGCATGTATGAAGCAAATGCATATCACTGAATTCCTCCACGTGGATGAAAGGTCACCTATTGACATTCATCTGTTCTTACAAATGTTCATGGAGTCCAAACAGTGGATGTCAGCACAGTCAAAGTTGGACTGAGTGGGCAACATTTTCCTAGCAACACCATTATAGCAGCTGTGGAAGAATGGATCACGCTCATAAACATCTGTGTGAGTGGACATGACATACAGGCTCTTGTACATCACTGATGAAAAGGCATAGCTAATAGTAGAGATTATATTGAAAAATAGTCTTTTGTAGCCAATAATTTTCCCTATCAGATAGTGTTATTGTACTCTTTGTATTTGTTGTAGTTTCCACGAGGATAAATAGGAAGAAGGCATTACTTTCAGAGCAACCTACATAAAATATGCTACAGTTAAGGCAATCTATTGCATTAGCGAAGTACCTAAGGACTTAAGAAAAATGTAGTATTTCCTTTTAATCTGAAACACATCATGCAGTTTGCAAATACTACATACCTTTAACTCCAAAAGTAGGTCCTTGGGAAGGTTGTCTCAGACAAGCAAAGGAATTAATCTTAAGGTGTGCAGTAAGAGCCTGAACAAGTCCAATTGTGACTGTGCTTTTCCCTTCTCCTAGGGGTGTAGGGGTTATTCTAGCAAAAGAAGAAAAAAAGATTAATCAAATTCTTTGCCGATGTCAGCCTTGCTAAGGATATCACAACTTACAGCTTTTGATTTCAATGAAGAATATTTGTACAATAAAATTTCAATAAGATTACTTTATCCCCACAAAAATACTGCCACAATGTTATTCCCTAGCTCAAGCTGGAATGCCAATATACATGTGTCTTCTATTTAAGCAATTTACTACGATAGCAGAAAAAGAGAAGATTATTTTGGCAAAAGTTCTAAAAAGAACTTATTGAATTTAGACATTTCCATTACAGCACAAAAGTCTCAACAGTTTCATTAACAAACCATCCATCAAGATACTCTGGGCAAGTATTAATGCTTTTCTTTTGCAATGCAGGAGATATTTTATTCCCAACGCTGAAACTATGAATGAAATAATGGCATGTTTTAAATTAAAAAACCAACACTTTTGTTTGCAGAACTTAGCTATCAATCTCTAACTGACACATCGTCATAACACTCAGCAATGACAGATCAACTGCTTTTTAAATAAAACAGGACAGAAAAGTCAGTATATTTATCTGAACATGATTTATTTTGCATTTAAGTTTCTCGACACTTTTGCAGATTTAAGGGTGATGAAGGACAATTGTAATTGCAGTCTGATCTCCTACACAACAGCTCAAAAACTTTATGCTACGAAGAAGCCACATCTGGAATAGGACAGTATTTCAGGAAGACATCCAATAACAAACCAGGGACACTAACCTCCACTTGAAGACTCTATGCTTGCCACTTAATAAAGAGATAATTATTGTTGGCTTTCCAAAGTGGAAAGCTTCAATGGTCACTTTCCCACCTCCGTCTCAGGCAAAGAACAAAGGAATAAAAATATTTATGGGTTGGGAAAAGAATAACGTATACTGGACCATGGAAAACAAATAGGCAAACAAATAAAAACCTTCCTGTTTTCTGAGCAACTTTGAATGCGTTCTAATTACTTCTGAGAGACGCAGCTCAGGGGGTGCCCTCCATCAGCTTCAGCAAAAATTTATTTATTTATTTATTTATTTTAAACACTGGAATGGTCTCTACAGTCACTGTTGAATTCACATGCAAAAGGCTCCGCGAATGAAAGACACCTCCGGTTAAAATATGTCCTCTCTGCTTTCACCATATTTGTTCACGATCCAAACTAAAAGTCCGTGTGGGGGATGGTTCTTTCTTTTCTTGAAGTACAAACGTACCTCTCAGTTTCAAAAACACATTCCAACTACTCATCTGAAGCAGATTTCTCTCTCTGACTAGGAAAAGAAGAAAGCCCTATTCCACCCCAGACACATCATTCTGATATAAATTTTGAAGTTTTGCTTTCTGGCTAAGTGCAATCATTCTTATCTTTGCTGGCTCCACTACCAGTAGAGAAGTATCATACTGAAGCTGTCATTGAGAATTAATTTTCATTCTCAAGGACGTACAAGCACACACATATATTCTAGTAAAAAAGAAACCCTTATCATATTACCTCTTCAAACCTGACCGAACACATCTAGTACTAATTAGAAACTCTTTCTTTACCAACTAGCAATTTTCACAAGGCACTGATGTCCTCAGATCACAATTCAAATTCCACAACAGCACTAATAAAATTGTCAAGTGCAAGAAGACATCTGTCTCCTTGCCTGTAAGAAGCAGCTGACATAAGCCTTTCCTTGTCCCACAAAATTTGAACACATGACAAACATTAACTTGCTGCAAATGAATTTTTTACATCATTGGATCCCGTTATTTTTTTAAAAAGCAGCAGCAGTGGAGCCTTTGTAAAATACGTCTGGGACAATTCGAGCAACAAGAGACAAGCCTAATTAAGATCTTTTATACTGCTCTGGGAAAAAAAACTGCTTGCTTCTATTTTTCCTACCACTGTTTCTGTTATCATTGCTTTGTTCCTGTGATGCTTTCTTTAAGAGCATTACAAACAGATTAACTCACCTTTCACAACCAGTTTAATTCCCCTAGCTACTGTTCTAACACTGGTTGCCCAAAACCTCTTCAAATCATTACTGATATAGTTTCTCCTTGTTCTACTGCTTCATTCACTTTCGTGTATTGCCATAATCTCTTTCACTTGATCCTCTCATTCCCGTGTATTAAAGCCGGATTTAGATAATAAAAAACTATCCTCGAGAGATTATTGCATTCATTCAAAGACTTACCAAGATAACAACACTTAAAGCTATTAGTTTTTTTATAAAGTGAAACTAAATCAACCACGTAAAAAAAACACCCTCAAACTCACAAACTATTTGCTGTGATACAGACATCTATAACTGTTTACTATAACTTACCAGTGAAGGACTTTGCACAAAATCAAAAAACTCGGTGCATACAACAGTTACACTGATAACAGAACAACTATTACTAGCACAGTGGTTCTGATTGATGGTGACTGGTATCTTTAAACATCATGTGAAGTTCACATTTGATGGAATTCAGAGAGATTGTCACTAGCTTAATGTTCAAGTGCCCCCCAGGGCAGACTAATTTGGCACGCAGAGAGGCTGATGGACTTACTGATTCTCATGAAAAAGTAAAATCAAAGGTTCAGTTTACTGTTAGGTGTGACAGGTCAGATTTGTTTCAGCAGTGCGTGGCTACAGGACAAGGAGAAATGGCCTCAAACCAAAGCATAGAAAGTTCTGCACAAATCTGTGTAAGAACTTCTTCACAGTAAGGGTGACAGAGCACCAGAACAGGCTGCACAGAGAGGTTGTGGAGTCTCCTTCTCAGGAGATGTTCAAGACCCACTCGGATGCATACCTGTGCAACCTGGTGTAGGGAGCCTGCTTTGGCAGGAGGGTTTGACTAAATGATCTTTAGAGGTCCCTTGCAGCCCCTACAATTCTGTGATTCTGTTCAGTATAGGAAAGGAAACTGAAAAAGTCAAATACTTTAACCACAGCCAAAAGGCACATTGGCAGGTGTATGAAGAGGAGTATCTACCTGTTCCAAAAGATTCATACCACCCAGTGCCACATTACTAAAACACTCTGCTAACCTGTCTGGCTTTTTGTATGAGACTAGATTTCCAATACACTGGTACTCAGCACCGGACATCCCCAGTATGAATGTGGTGCTCTGAGAACTAACCATCAACAGGTGAGAGTTAAAACTGAACTAAAGCAAGCTTATGTTCCCCAGTGTACTCCTGCATGCACACAGCAGCCTACAGCCACATACAGCTACAGCACTGCAGTTATGATCTTCACTATATAAAATCTGCTTGGCTCTACATTTTCAGTGTATTCTTCAAATGGGTTTCAAACAGTTTTCTTCCCTTCTAAGAAATTCTGAGATCCACAGTTTTCCTGCAATTAGAGTTACTCAGATAAAGATCTAAACACTCAAAATGTACAAAGGCAGCTTTGAAGAAAACCAGCAACCAGACTTCTCTAAATAGTTTACAGCTCTTGGGTGACACGCAAGAATTCTTGTCCACTGGAACAGGTAGGAATGGGCACAAATCCCTGAGAAGTCAAGAATAGGAACCTGACTTTTTAGACTCTTTCCACCTAACAGAATTAACAAATCACAAGGACTCCTGCAAATCACAGTGTTCAGTGCAGTCAATTTGGTCTAGACAATCACTTGTCTTCAACTTCTCAATTCACATGTAACACTGTGGCAGGACACCTTTGACTTTGAGATGTTCAGCAGTAGCCTGGAGACTACAGGATAAGCACTGAGAGTTGTACAGTCATTTTATAGTTTCAATAGATACCTCAACCTCAGTTTTAAATATTGATTTAAAAAGGTAAAAATAAAAAGCCTAAAATTGAAACAGATTTCCATTCCAATCATTTCCTTAGAAAGTTTACTTTAAATATCTTCCCTTTTGTACCTGGCCTACTTTGATCAGTTTTTATAAATAAAATAATCTATTTAAGCAGCTTTGTAGACATGTAGATGTTTTTGCTGGCTACACTACTGAGCCTACACACTTGCAATTGAGGTCACTAGCTCACATGAGTATAAAATTACAATTGCCAGAGGCTAACTTTAGCTCTGTTGTGCATTTTTAAACAGATATACAATGCTATGTTTTGATCTCATGCAAATCTAAAACTATAAAATACCGTAAATTTTAATGAGAGTTTTTTTTTTTTTTTTTTTTTTTTACATATATTTGTATTCTTCACATTTCTTTAATATGTTTTCAGTCTGAAGACAGAAATCATTCTGTCTTTAGTCAGACATTCATTCCCTTCCTTAAGCCTTACTTTGCAACCAAGTGGTCAACAGCTCCTTGGCAAAGTGACTTTTCCATAACACTGGGAAGCATTCTCTCTTGATATATATCAAAACAAAGATAAGAACACGCAGACTTTTTGTTTGTTTGTTATACATCACATTAGCTTGCAGTGGAGCTACTTCTGTGGGAAAGCTACATGAGATCTGACAAAGAGAAAATAAACAAACAGTGAAATACACTGCACCAGCTGTAATCTCCCTACAGTTACCACATCCATTCTGTTTCCAGTAAGAACTCTACTGGATGTGACAACTCTTCCAGTTTCCTATCTTCAGCTCACCAGAATCAGCTACTTTGATTTTAATTCTCATTTTAATGAGTTCACCATTCCGTTGTTCCACGTGGAAACCTGTGAAATCTTGCAATCAAGGGGACAGGCAAGAGAGTTTTCATGAATGACAGCCTTACCTAAATAAACCTCTCACCCAAGATAACAAGTGTCAAAAATTTAATTCTGAGCTCAGAAGAGTTGGAACTCACATCACTTACTGAGGATAGAGCATGACAACATTGCAGTGTCATCTCTAGAATGGGACTGCAGCTTCCAGATATGAAAACACAGTGATGGCTGTTGAACTACAGTGACTGAACAAAGCCAGTAAAAGACTGAAGAACTCACAAATACAAACTCTCAGTCCTCAATAATGACTAAGAGAAGATAATTCCCATCAGCACCTACTCAATGACACTAAATATACATTTATGATACACAATATACATATATGACAATCTCCCTTATGACTTTACTTTGGATTGTCAAGTATTTCAGTGCATCAAAACAATGCTATTTTTTTCTATTTATTCTTCACCATATTTTTCTTGTTTCCTCTATGTCTACGCATTTTTTTTTAAGCACCTCTGGGCCAAGAAATACACTGAGCAGAAATACAATCCAATACATACCTACCCTCAGAAAATTCAATTCCAAATTTGAGAATTCTGTTCCTAGAATAGTTATCATCATACAGCTTGAACAAGCATTAAGCTAACACTTCAGTGCATTTTTATCTTACCAAAAAAGTTGTTTGTCACAAAATAATCTATTAAAGTTAGCAAAAAATACTAATTTTAGTTTTTCAGCATTCAAAAACCATCATACTTCCTCCCAAGGAAAAAAAAACATTATATTTCATAACTGCATTTAAAAACAAATGATTGGAATATACAAAGAGTGCAACAACTTTTACATGAAGGTTTCATGTTGTGTTTATCAGTATGCAGTCTACATGCTTGAATGCATGACCCAGGTTACTAAATGTAGCTACTATGTCATGAACAGGCTTTGTTTGTTCGCATACTCGCAATGAATGGGAGACAACTTAAGTTAACATATCCTGCAGTAGAATTTATTTTAGCATGCTAAAAGCCCGAACATTGGCAGGTGATGCAGAAAAGCTAACTACTCCAAGATATTCAGTGAGTCTGACCCCAATGGCTCTGAATGATCCTATAGCAAATTACAACCACACACAGAAAAGTAGTTAGAAATGAGAATTTAAAAAAAAAAAAAAAAAAAAGGGGCAGGAAAGGGGGAAGGAATAATGCTCTCAACATAGAAGAAAATGAAATTTATTGAGAAACATCTTCAGCTGGATAACTAATTTTGAGTAACTTCATCTGCTTAATCGGTTTTTACTTAATTTTTCAGCACACCAAATAATTATTGCATTTAATTGTACTTGTGTGCATTCAGAAAATGCCTGTAAGACTTTTGAATTAGTAGCAATGTTTTAAAAAGTCATAAATGTAACCATTCCTGTAAATGAAAATATAAATCTTGGTTGATATTCAGACCAACAACTATGGGCACATCAGAAATAAACTAGAAGAGCATTTGCATGAAATATTCATAACTCCAAAACATCATGAAACACTTAAGCCCTATTACAGGCACAAATGTCTGGCTGCATCATGGATAGACAGAAATTCTCCACATTCCTTGATGCACATACAAACACACACACACACACACTTTTCACTACCTTTGCTTATGGAAAGTTGATGTAAAATCACAGAATGGTTGGGTTGGAAGGGACCTTTGAGATCACCTCATTCCAACCTCCCTACTATAGACAGAGATATCTCTGTCATACACACTCATTATACAAAATTAATATTTCCATCCGACTGAATACTCAAAAGTATAAGAACATATATCTTAAATGCTTTCTTTAAAGTCTTAAAAAGTTAGCCTGAATACCTATACACTGCAGCTTTCTAAAATAGTTTCTAATATCTACACTTATGCTAAGCCTACATAAGAATCCAAATGACAAGTTTTAGTTGACCTTGCCTAGGCAGGTAGAGCATGAAGAAGATAAATAAAGATAGTGTTTTGCTCCAATTTCTATATCTGAGTGGTGTTCAGTCTTTATTGTAGTAAACATTCTCTCACCAGATGCAGCTCCTCAGCTTTGTTAAAATGGCTGCAGCCACGTAGCAAATATGCTACAGCCAATTAGCAAACAAGAACAGCTGAGAACACACATGAATGCACAGTGTATACATATATTTAATAGGTACAATATTTCAAACTTTGAACTCTTTCAGAAGAGGTCCTCCACTATTATTGCCCAAGCACTCCTTAATAACCCTTACACAGAAGTAGTTTTACACTCACTACGTGTGCTGAAGTGACCTCAGAGAAGATACAAATAGCAACATACTGCATAATCAAATTTTGTAGGTATCAAAACCAACCCTTTGTGTGTGTGTGTGAAATGCAGTTGAGTCTTACACACACCATATAAACTTACAGAGACAATTTTCTATTTGTTCCCAGTTTTTCATCCAGCTAGTCAAAATTTTGCTCTTTCCTCTACATGCATATGCTTATCTGCCTCTGCTCCAACAAAACACAGAGATACCTTCTTGAGATACCTTCCTCAAAAAAGGAGACTAGGGAAGAAAAAGGTATGAAGCTTCAGTATTGGTGAAGTGAATCTGACAATTAAAATCCATCCAAATTGAGTCTTGCATCATGTTACCCTCCATCTCCAGATATCTGCAAATCATCTCTGCTTTTATGAAACTGCTGCAAGAGAAGCATGGCACAGTCTGTAGATGCGTAGTGCCTAATTGGCACAGTTGACAAGAGCCTGAAAGTGCAAAGTAGCAGATTTTTCAAATCCAGTCAGATACTGCTCTTCAGTCCCACGCAAACAACAGATAAAATAAAACTCTACCAAAATAGAGAACTGGCTCAGCCAGCTATTTTTTCCTTATCTTAAATAACTGCTCTAAAGTCCTCCAGGAACATCTTTATATATTTCAATTCTATAGCATAGGTCTGAAGACAGTTTCACAACTCATTTGCCTCACCTTTGTAACATTAGATCTCTCAGTCTACAACAGATCCACTTCAGACAAGGCCAGAAATCCAGGCAGACCCCACAGAAAGGTACTAAAGCATGAAGGTACTAAAGCAAAAAGTTTGCTAAACATTATCTGACTGAGCAACTGGTAGATTAAGCTAGTTAAGAGCAGCTTTCTTCTTCTGGATTAGCCTAAAGCTATATATTTTAAACCCCAACTTGTTTTATTTACAAAGAAGCAACTCTAAGGTTTTATTCAGACCACGAAGAACAAACTGCATTTGAAATATTAATGAGAAGCATAACATTTTTCCACAATTTGAACTTAAGAAACCAGGTGAATGAAAAAGCGTTGTGTCACTAAATGAGGGACAAAGAAAAAGCAGCTCTTCAGAAAAGAAGCACATAAATCCTGTTGAGCACAGTATTTGCTGTAATCGTGGGAACAGAGAACAGGATAAGCCTGCCTGGAGACATGTCTACATTTCGGACAGAAAACATGGCTTATTTAAATATGTAATCTATTCTTCAATAAAAAAGGTATTTGTTGTTAATATCAAGAGATAAGCACACAGCTTCTGTTAAAGTTTGTTTATAAACAGCCACAACACACAGAGACTTGAATATCAAGTTAAACATTTAAAATGCTTATAAAGTAATAAAAAACCTCCACACAACAGCAGACAAGATTAAGAAGCTTAGAAAAAAAACTACCTTTAGAGAACATACTTCCATAGTAACAGAAAGGTTGCATTAATTTTTTTAAAAAAACAAAACTTCAAAAATTGCTTGTTTTCAGAACAGAAAAACGTAAGCCCCAAACAGTCAGGGCTTTTATTCATGCAGTATATCAAAGATGTAAGCTGCATGTTTATACTAATTTGAGTGGAAAGGGTGCACATTAATCACATTACTGTTCATTCTTACCCAGCAACTAGAACATATTTTCCATCTGGTTGATCCTTTAACCTTTCCAGCAGGGACAAACGTACTTTGGCTTTGGTTTGGCCATAGATTTCAATTTCATCTGTAAGCAATCCTATCTCCTTGGCAAGTACATCAACAGCTTTTGGACTCTGTGCTCGGGAAATTTCAATATCGCTGGAAAAGAAAACAAATAGGAGCCAGGAGATTTGTCTCAGCTTAGGTGGTCGATGACAGAACACAAAACAACAGCAAATACTCCAACAATGGGGTTATTGTAATCAGTTTTTCAATCTTCTCTCACATTTTATTAACCAAATCTAAACATTGGCTACACCTAGTATAATACTGAAAATCACATGCAATGTTTGTTAATTGTTATACTTTCACAGAGTTCTCTCATTTCATCAGATTCCAAATACTACGTAATGCTTTCATCTCAAGTTAGAGATCTATCTGCTGGATGGTCCAGCACATCCCAACAGAATGAAGGTTTCTGATTGAGTTTTTCTTCTCCTCCCTCCCAGGAAGTGCATGTAGCACATACACTTCAGTAAAAAGCACATATGCTGCTTGGCCAAGAGTCACATAAACACATTAGCTAAACATGATACTTGTGCATGTTGTGCCTTTCATCAGAGGGCACCGCCAAGTGACCTAAGCCTCACTACTCCCCCATTAGGCACTGGAAGATCAATTCACACAACTTTAAAGCAGTTAAACTGAAAGCTGCCACATATCAGAAGGTTAATGCACAGGATTTAGACCACAAGTGCACTGAGCTTATAAACTACTTCCTGCAAGGACCGCAAGTGGCAGCCTGAAAAAGAGGAAGAACATGGAGCAACGGCTGCCTGAGAGAAGGTGGCTGCAGCCTGGGGACACTAGGCATCCACAGTTCCTGACCTAGACCACCTGGACTCTTTGGATATAATACCTCTTCATGGATTTTTGTTGTGTGAGTTGAACCTAGTTTTCCCTGAAGCTCCCCGAAGGTTTTAGCAGCTGTGAGCTCCGGCAGCAGTAGTGCCCAGGGTCAGGCATACAAGATCTGAAGAGCCATCTCCCTTAGCTTAGAATTATTCGCACCATCATGAAAATTGGCTAAAAAAAATTACCAGGAGATTAATTACTTTCAGCCTATCCAAGCTAAACTCCTTCCTGTAGTCTTGGTTGATCACAATATTTTTAAAACATAATCTGGCAACAGCATCAAAGCTAATGTCCTGGACTTTCAAACAGTCTGCAAGATCTCAAATATCCACAGATTAACACAGAACTACTGCCAAACCTCAGCTCCAAGCATGGACTTAGCTGTTGCGCATCCACCAGCAAACATTCAATTTGTGTCAGGCTAATTGCATTCATTTCTTTGAAGATATCGATAACCTAAACTAGGACCATTGTGCAATTATATGCAAAGGTACTTCTTAAATATGTAACATCTAAGTAAATCTCAGAAATCATCCAATCAAATCTGAGACAATCAAATAGAATGGGACAAGAAGCTACTCAAGCACAGCACTCAGTGGGCTGCAGATCGTTTTGTTGCATGTACTCAGCTGGAATCTGATCACCTTCAAGGACATACCAAGCACATCCTCTTGCTTAGAAGGATATACCTTTCTTCAAACTTTCTTCAAACAAAATTAGCCATAGAAACATATAAAGAACAAAAGATTTAGTGGCTTACAAACATTATGACACAGAATAATTAGTTTTCTTCAGACTATGTCTATAAAAACAACTTGAGTACCAAAGAAGCACTGGTTATGTGATGGCTCTGTGGTCTCTCAAAGGTTAAACCAAATTGTACGGTGATCTATTTTCTCAATAAAGCAACTGATGTATTCAGCAAGGGAAGAAGTATGTAGACTCGCATGACAGAAAGTTAACATGGTGTTTTTTGTTGTTACTTAAAAATAAATAAATAAGCCTCCTACTAAATAAAATCATTCTCCTTGCTAAAAGACAGAAGCTATTGTTTCAAATCTCAGGACAGACTATTAAGACTCTCTGCTGCAATCTCAGCCCTTCCTATTCCCCTCAGCTCTCTCGCCACAAACACTGCCCCCTCTGAGTTCTGGAAGAAATAATCAGGCAATTAGTCTTTTCCCATCCCTGCAGGCACCACAACTAGCACAAAGAGGAAGGAGTAAAACTGATACAACTGCGAAATTGTAACTAAGTTGAAAGAATTCCTTAATAATTATGATTTTAATTAAATAAATCACAAATATTTGCCAAGTAAAACTGACTGTTCTCCCTGAGTAAAACTACTGCCGTTGTCATTTACTCATCTGAAGTTCCCTTAGGAACCTTCAACAACATATACAAAACGCTGTTAGTATACATTTCCAGATAAAATGTATTTTCTTAAACACAAGAAACTAAGGACCTGTTCATAACTAATCTTTAGAAGACTACATTTGAAGCTAGCTCTTTCAGTTTATAGCTATGTATTTAAATACATTTTGGAATACTGCAATTATTCAGTAAGTTATGTCATTTGGTATTAAGTTGCAAATTTAGATCACGGCTCTTCTGCGTGAATGAGAACTGTTGACCAAGGAGTATACTATTGCCAGCATCAAATCATAATTCATGAAATGTAAGATTTAAGAGATGTGGGGAAGGAGCTATATCTACTCAGCATATGTCATGAAGATTGCTTTCTGTATGAAAAGCCTCCATTTGTTTCCAAAACCTTTGAAATACTTCAATTAACACCCAGTTCTCACAGAAATCAAAAAGCAGATGTTCCTAGTTTTAGTGCTTTAGCAGCTTTCCTCGTTTTCAATGAAAACTCCATCTGCTTCCACACAATGTTGTGTACTGCTACAAGATTGTATTTTATTGCAGGATACCTTCCATCTGACATTGTTATTTTACATTTGAAAGGAGAAAGAGACATAAAGCTATAGAGTAATCAAATAAATGGAAGTCTTATAACCAATTGTACTTTATAGCATTGTATATTAAATATGCATATATGTATATAATAAACACACAATGCCATAGAGAGGGGTGGGAATGGTTTTTGGGGAGTTTTTTTTGCCATCATTTTCATGATAACACATGCTTTAATCTATTGTTTAACTATATTATTCAAGGACATATTTTTCAAACTTTAACTCTGGGAGTACTATTTCATGTTGGCCCAGAGCAAGCTCAAGAATTTCTTCCCCCTTGCGGCCCTGCCTATGACAGAAAACTCATTCTTTTGGCATCTCTGTTTTAAATTACAACTTGTGTCCATTCCCATTAAATGGTTTTAAGAGGCAGCGAAAAGTGAACCAAAGTGCTTCAAAAGAAAACATTTTGCTACAGTTTTTCAAAAATGCAATAGAACTCAGGAGCAGGCACACAAATACGCACACACAAATGTCTAAGTCTTCCCTTATGGCAAAACCTCCTTTCAAGCACCTCTCTGCCCCCCACCACAACCAACACACAGCAAGCACTTGAGCACAGACAAGAACTCAGGCTTCCTGAACCTTTGAAGGCGTCACCAATTCCACTAGGGCAGACAAGAAACCCTGACATGGGCCTTAGGAGGTGAATGGCAGAAACTGATGGGAAATATTCTGGTTAGAAGAATAAATGCGCTTCCTGCTCTTCACATCTAGATATGAATTGAAAAGTTTGACACGGAAGAAAATGCTTCTGAGGGAAGAAAATAAAAACAATTTCAAATGCCATTGAAATTAAAGGGCCTTAAGTAGTTCCATAAACTTTTTCCTCCATTTGAGTGACCTAATAATAAAACTTCTTACACTTTGTATTGCTGTTGATGTTCCGCAAGGCTTCGCCTCCTCCCCTCAATGAAACCTTCAAGTTTTAGGTCCAACCAATAGGGGTTGGCACCAACGAACACCATAAAAATAAAAATTGATAGGAAGCAGAAGGCCATGTTCACATGAAAGCATATAGCAAAAAGTACAACATGCTGTTGAGATAAGCAGATTAAAATAAGATACGGGTTATATTTAGGTTCACTGTCAAATTTAATACTTGGCTTGTTTGTTTGTTTGTTTTAAGAAAAAAAAATAAAAGAAACAAAAGAATAACAAAAACAAAACCACTTATTACCTAGGCACTGGTGAGAGGGGCTGAAGCTTCAAGCAGTGGAGGTCCCATTTTCTGAGCTGCTGGGAGTGGATCCATCGCTCTGCATTTTTTACCATGTTCTGTTTTTAAACAAACCGTAAATATTGAATGCTAATTCCAAATGATGTCGAGACTATGTCAAAATAACCTTTTATAGCAAAAGCTAGCAAAAAAAAAAAAAAAAAAAAAAAAAAAAACCCTAAAAAAAATCACTCCATCTCATGGCTTCAGGATGAAAGGAAAAACAACTGCTACTCTATGACTGTGCCATTGTTTGTTCAGATTTCAAAAGGAGACAAGGTCACTAATACAATAAATGGCAGAAAAAAAGATCTCTAATTAGGCACTTTAAAATTTTATTCTGGCTAAACTGAGCATTACTATTATTTGCTCATGTCTTAGAAAGAATAGAAGATATTAATTGCTCACTGACTGACTTATGCTGCTTCCAAATAAAACACCACATTTCCAGACCATCTGTCCATCACGAGACAAAAAATGCGTGCAAGTACAAATAATCTGCATGACCTTGTAAGAAGAAGTAACATTAGATTATTGATAAAAGTGCTTCTGGCAAGCTTTACTACAGTCATCTGAGCTGTGACACATTTGATTTTTAATGTAACTAAATGCAACAGGCATGACTCACCTCAACTGATTAAGAATTGCCATGAAAAAAAGAGGCAAGTAGAATTGTCAAAAGAGCAAAACAAGAATTAAAAAAAAAAATGAAGTTGTGGAAGCAGTTTCTACAATTCACAGGAAGAGCAACAAGTTTTACAATGTTTGAAGTTACACCAACCTGCATTCGCATTGCTACTGCAAGAGAACAAACTGCATTTTCAATAGTGTTGCTGTTTTTCTGACCATAGTTGTGTTTCTCTGTAAAATAAGAACAGCACACAAATAAATTATGAGGCTTTTTTTTGAGTGGGAACAGCTACACTAGAAGCGACAATCAGACAAAGTAATTATGATGCTGACTTAACAATGCCACTGCCAAAATTATAGGTGGCTTCTGCAATGTTTCAACTAAAATAACAGGAAAGGGCTGATACTGTGCAAAAACCAGAGAGCAACTGTGTGCTCTGAAATGCATTTTGCAAATATGCATATAACAAAACATATAAAATACTGGAAAAGTAAAACTGGGAGCACCAGAGCCCAATTGGATTTTGGGGAGGGGGGGGGAAACAGAGGGGAAAGCAAGGGGGGGGAAAAGGGGGAAAAAAAAAATAAACATGTGTTTAACAAAACACATTAACGAGCATGGTAAAAATTGTTTTCTTTTTCATACCCTCAATGCAGTGAAAGAGAACAATGAAATGACCTGAAAATTCTACACAGGACCTCTAAAAATCTTCTGAACAGCAAAAGTTACCTTTGTGAATGTGCCATTAAAAGCAATCGTCTGCAGAGGCTGTACAACGTGACTCGAACTTTAAAGATAGTTACTATCATTTCTAGTGGCAACATATTATACAATAACCCTACATTAGCTACTCTAACTAAACATACTATTTGTCATTTACCCACAGTCCTCCTTTTGGCTTGTGCTTTTGCTATTGCTTATTGACTTTTATCTTGATGTAGTTTCTCCAAGAATTCACATCCTAGTCTCTACGGGCATAGCACAGCTCTTGTCTCATTCTGAAGGGCGTAGACATAATTACAATAAAAGATAATAACTGTACACTGAGAGTGTTAGCCTCTCTCCTCGAGGAGAATCGGAGCACAAACCCTGATTGAGCCAAGCTTTCCCTGCACTTACCCTGCCTGCAGCCATCACAAAATGTCTGCCTCACCTCAAGCTGCTGCTCAGAGGCAGCAGAGCTTGGGTGCCTTGGGCAAGGTCCTGTGCTCAGCACAAGTGCTGCAGCACCTGCTTGTGCCATTATACCAGCACTGAGAGGCAGGGCCACACCAGCAGGCACCTCCAGCCTTGCTCAGTGCACTATCAAACCCTTCCTCAACCTGCCTTGCCAGCAGACATCTGCACTGTAGCGCCAAAAATAACTGGGCAGCAAGAGGCCAGTCTTTATGCTAAACTCAAAAAGTATCTAAAAGTCCACCTTTTTGTATTAACACTCGCTGTTTAAAAAAACAAAAACAAAAACAATAATCTGGAAATATGTTCAGCTCAAGCACAGGAGCTTTACTGGAAGAGTCCATCAGAGTCATAAGCTAAGCATTGCTGCCTTGAGACAGGGCTGGGAGAGCTGCCAAAGAGACAAATGAACTAGGAAGAATGGAGTTTAAAATCCCTTTTCAGGCAGCTGTGCTTTACAGAAGTATCTCAACCTTTTGCTTTTGGCTTAATGCGACTTCTTTATCAGCATAGAGCGAGCGTGCATGTAAATACATATTGGTATTGGATGTCTCCCTTCAATAAAATGCCTGCCTGCCTACGCTATGCACTTACCACACTAACACTAAGCAGGACTTTTACAGAGCGAAGGTGAAGCCAGAGCATACACGAGCTAAGAGGACAACCACAGGATTGCAACAGCTCACTCAGGATACATTTTCCAGATGGGAGCTGGAATAACACTCTCTGCCTTGGGTTTTGGCCAGAAGATCAGCTGAACTGCAGGCACTGCGTTCCTTCCTCTCCCTCACCCTGACAAAGGCCCATCTACTGGCAGCAGACAGCTATATAGACAGACATAAAGGATTAGAACAGAGATGTGAGAGAAGGTCACGTTTCCCATATATATAATTAAACCATGTGGGCTTGAGCTTTCCAGTGACCTTAATGGAGTTGGTCATCAAGCCCTAAATAATCTTGGGTCTTTCTTGTTCAGAAACTTGTTCTTTGTTTCTATACATTTACAAATCAAATATTTTCCTGCAAGAGGCACTAGATTCCAAAATCATTAGTGCAGTAGAATAACACGTTTTAAAATGATCACAATTCTAAAATTGCTGGCAGTACAACAACAACAGATTATTTATTTATTTATTTATTAAGGAGAAAAAATTCCATTAGTTTAGATCAAGCACTTTTAGCTCTACTCTCCTGGCTTACATCACTACAGCTGCCTAATATAACCACGTTCTTGCAAATTTAGGACTGCTTTCGAAACGTGTCCATGTATAGCTACACGAGGTAGAAATCTAGCCACCACCTAGCAACAATAAAAGTCACTTCACAGCCATTGTTGCTTTCAGGCTTTGTACAGCTCCTGCAGCCCCAACACAAATGTCAAGTGGGAGATTTCTAAAGCAAGAGAAAATTTCTGAGCATGCCAGCCAAACAGATTTCACTACGCACTGAAAGTGAAAATTCATTTGTAAGAGTCAGTGGTTTGTCCAAGACCATAAGTACTCCAAAATACACTTTTAATAAATACCTTGCAATTAAACTAAGTGCATTCTCCCTGTCAGATGAACACCTGTGTTTCATGTACTTCTCAAGGAAGTCTTCAGGTCACTGTTTCTAAAAGCTACTGAAATTTGTTTCTGCTGCTCTTCCTGAGTTTCTTCAAGTTTTTGACAGTCTCAAAAGCATACACACAAATGAACACTTGATACATAAGTTTATTTTTAAACTATCTTTTAAATATTTCATATTGCCTTTTCAAAGAAATGCTGTACTTAACACAGACAACTGCTGCAACATGAGAAACATGAAAAACTCCATTGGTACATAGTACATTCTTTGTTTCCTGCCTTAAGAATGAGTTTTGCTGTGGTACGTGAACATATTTCAGATGTTTTCCCAACAGCACTTTTTTTCTTAGGGAAATACTGATATTATCAATGGTTCTATAGAGCAGATAGGTCTTGAGACTTAGGTATCTTAAAGCCATGTCAAGAGGCCACGCAGGGAAGACCTTGGCTCTACTTGCAATGGAATGTGGGACCTGAGTAACCAGAAGTGAAACTTCCTAGCACGCAGAGCTAGGGAGTTCAGTCTCCAACACTGTCAGCTCAGGCTACAAGGGCTTACCCCATACTGCTTTCACCAGACCCACAAGCTCCACCCCAAATCAGAGAACTCAGAGCTCCTGCTGAAAAAGATTAAAATGTTATTGCTCTACCTCCATTCTCTCTCTTCCTGCCTCTCCCTTTCCAATTCCTACTTTGTGCAAGAGTGATACCCATAGAGTGATCTACCCATAGATCAGGTATCTGTTGAGGAGACAGGGCTTCAAGCAGATGCTTAACAGACCTTCTCAACAATTACGTCCTGCTGACGCTGTGCAAAACAAGTAAGCACCAAAGAACTAAGGAATCTCCTAATCACCACGCTAGCATATCTGATCTCCCCCCACACTGCTTTAGTATAAAAAAAATATGAATTACTTTTAGGAAAAGTTGTGCAGCATTAGTAAGGAATAAGGCTGCTTGGTACACTACCCTCAGATCCCACAAAGATAGGACATGGTTCAGGAAAGAGGAAGAGGAATATCCAACTACCTTTGGATAGCTGAGTGCATTTAACCAAGATCTGACACATCTGCAAAATATATTCAAATCAAGGGGATATCAAGATGAACAACAAAAGGCATCTCTTTCTAAGGCCACACTTTGCATGGGAACAGCAGCTGCCTTATTACAAACCTGGTCTTGTACCAACTGTGCTTGAAGCATCTGCTTAATTTGACCCCAGGAAACATACCTAGTTTAAGAATCATACAGCCCTTTCTCCTTGTTTTTATGTAGATTTCCCCAGTTTTATATCAGTGGATGTTAATAAGCATACTGCATACTTGTGATTAGTTAATGTGCCTTGCTAGATCTATCACATTACCCATTTACTTTTTTTATTTTTCTATTCTCTCACAGCATGGTGCCATCAGGTCAAAAAATCAAATTGGTACGTCTATTATAAAAAAAAAAAAAAAAAAGAAAATATCCAGAGACCTTAACAGTTGTTGAAGGAATTTTAAAGGAAATGTAATTGCTGCAGTGGAGTACAGTAACTCCTAGGAAGCTTTCTTAGTTTTATTTCTAATAAAATTCTACAGTTTTTCTCAATGGAGAAATTGATGAACCTATACCACCTGTCCAACCAGATTATATTAAAGTGAGTGGGGGAAGAGGGAATCCAAATTTATTTTGTACTTGTAACAGTTGCAGGGGACATCTTGCCTGTTCTGAGATATGCAAGATTCCTCTAGATCATCTTGCACCATTCTCTGCATTGCATTTTGCAAATATTCTTTCTACATCACCTTTTCCCCATGCTCTAGCTGAGACAACAGAATTCAAAACATAACACACTGTACAAACTAACACAGAAATAACAGGTCATCCAATGAATTCTGAATGAATCCATGCTTATTTAACAATCCTGGTGTGAAGAATATATTCCAGTACCACCTTCTTCATCTGATATCTTTTTCTTATTTACATATTAAACATGCATTCATCCCCCATGTACAAACACCCACTATCAAAGGTTTCCTCCCAAAGATGTAGATTTTAATCACAGTGAGTGGTGACCAACATGCCACTCACTTTTTTTTTTTTTTCCAAAGACTCTGCATATATCACTTTCAAGAACTGTTCACTTTAAACTTTACCTACCTGACAGCAAATCAGGAGAACAGTTGATGATGGTGGTTCCAGGTTTTAGCCAGCTTACAGGAACACTGTCAGGTTTCGGACTGCCAGCTACCACCACATCCACTTGATGAAGCTATGAATAGCCCAAAGTCCATCCCATCCCCCAAGAAAAGAAAAAAAAAACAAACAAAAAAACCCACAAGAATTTAATCTTAGAAGTACATTCTTGAATATGCAAATTATTTTCAGATTATATAAGCAATAATATTTTGTACAGTTTTTGCAAACAAAATCCAAACTGATGACTGCATTCTTACCACATTATATTTATGAACAATAGCATTTGAAATTGAAAAAGCAAAAAGCACCTGTAAAACAAGGAAGTAGAATCAGAGACAGCACCAATAACATTTTGTGGGAATTATATTTTCTCAGTAAATAAACCATATAATTGTTCAGAGTACTGTCCAATAAAGTAACTTGGAGAGACTTAAGTACAGTCATCTTATCTGAAAGAAAAAAACTTGGACAGCTCTGAGAAATGCAAGATGACCTGATCTGCAAACATCAGTGCCTTTGAAGAATACCAATTAAAGCTTGTTTTCGTTTCTCAGCTCATGCTTGCTAATGAGTCTCTCTGATTTAGTTCAACCTTACAGATGTCGGAGCAAAAACACTTACTTAAAAATTCTTATAATCAGAGAGATAAGTGTCTTTCTTTCCTCCCTATTCTGAACCAGGACTCTGTAACAATTATTGGAATCAACATGAGATAAAGGATAGCAGCAGAGGCAGATGTATAAATATCCAATCAAACAGGAAATACGGGCACAACACTGACCCCAAAAATTGTATCAGAGAGACAATAATTTTGGAAATCTTTGGAAAAATGTAAATAGATGCCAACTGTTGCAATCTGCACAAACCTCTCTGTGAACCAATTTGTGACCAGCAAGTGTTCCAGCTTCTTTTTTGGCCAAAAGTGCTCTGATGCAACTCTGCCCTACACTCCTGCCAAGAAAGAAAAGCTACAAATTCTATCAGGATAACACGTTTTTGGCACAGATGAGCATCCAGGAGGGGAAACTGTGGCGGAAACAGCAGAAAGCTAAGAAAGCTCCATCTCCTTAGAGAACACAAGAATGGACTAAACCTCCTCAGAGCTTCACTTGTGGAAACATAGCCAAACGTGTGGGAGAAGGCTTACTAGCTTGACAGATGACTAATGCTACAAGCCAATTCGGGCTTCAACTAGAAGTCCTATGATTGCCTGCAAAAGTACAGTCTCAACAGCCTTATCCAAATTGCCTACACTTCTGTGTCTGCTGCAAGTATCAGCTTACATGCCACTCCTAGGAGATCACATAAATAGTAATGCTTGACCAGCGTCAAGTCAAATTATACTGTGGAATTAGCAAGCAGATTTGAATAAAATTACACTGTACAATACTCTTGTGTACCAAGAGTACAAAAAGCAAACCTCTCTCACCAAAGAAGGCAGCCACTACCATAACATCAACACAGAGGAAAAACTTCAGGTATCCAGTATCTTTGTAACAAAAATGTAATTCATATTCTAGTAGTTATAATTAATATACTGATGGTCAGGAACATCATTCCATGCAAAGTCTCTGGGACAGGGACTCTAAGCTTCGTACACTGCCTCACATCATGAAGCTATAAGCCAGCTGAGTGCTGTATGCAACAAGAGAATCTTGATAAATTTTCAGACAACATATATCAGATCAATTCTATCATAAGTAACTATAGTGACAGAAAACAACTGATCAAACATTAATTTCTATGACTACGAATCATTATGTTGAAAAACGTTAACAGCTGAACACAATCAATTTTGTAGACAACACAATGGATGGCTGGAGTTGGTCATATCCATAAGTACATTGAAAAAAATAGATAAAACCTTCTCATTGCCCTACCCTACTGCCTCCATGAAAAAATTTTTATCACAGGCCATGGAACAGTTGTCCTGCAGGCTGAGCATGTTCTAAGCTCAGAGCCTCCACCCACCATTTCCTTTTCATAGAATCATAAAATTATTTGTGTTGGAGGGACCCCAAAAAGCCATCAAGTCCAAGTCCCCTGCAATGAACAGGGACATCTACAGCTCGATTAGGTTGCTCAGAGAGACGTCCAGCCTACTTTTTCCTCGTTTCAAAAAATAAGCACATACAAAAAAGAGAAAAATAAAGTAAAAATATAAATTCAACTCTCTTGTTATAAGCAATTATTTTTATGTGCAATAGTCTATTATGTGCAAGAGTCTCTGAAGTACATATAAAAAATACTTTATGGATCTTTTTTGCTCCCTTGATGATTTTTTTTTTTAAATGACATCCAGAAGCTTGTTTGACTGGGAGAATGAATTCACTGGAAGTAAAACCGTTGCTCTGGGAATTTTGGGTGTTCTTGGAAGAGATTCATCTCCATTCAGGCAATTCAGTTTCCCTTCAAAGAAATAATGTCTTTGCCCTATCCATTTTTTGTTGTTTTTTTTTTTGTTGTTGTTGTTTGTTTCTTTTTTTTTTTTTTTTTTCTTTTTGCCATAAACTATTCTTTTGACTGCTCATAAATCACTAAAGCCTTGGGAGGCATGTTCAGGCTTTATCTTCTAAATCAGAAATAAATCATAGACATTAGAGATGGAAAAGACCTATGAAATCATCACATCCAACCTCCCTCGCAAACATGCTGCGCAGTCTCCAGACAGAGGATGCATCTGATCGGAACCAGATGCGTCAGGCAACTGTTGCCAGGAGGCTGAGGAGCTATTGACAGGTGGCCGCAGGGTGACCCGACAGGCAGTGCTGTTGGTAGAAGTGCTGCGTCCCAGTCCGCAGTGAGCAGAACCAGCAATGGCATCACACAAAACCATCCGCAATGTGCTGGGCGATGGGTTGGAGACAGAGTAAGGCAATACTCGAGCAGTCTCCTGCCTTCTCACCAGTAAATATTGTTTCAGTTGGGAAAAGCCATGCCAACAAATAATCTGAAACCTTACCTCATAACAAAATACAGCTCTCTCCACCACGATTTAAGTAGAAGCAGATTAAGAACCACCCATTCGTTCCCAAGATAGATCACCGAATGTTAAAACAACAACACAGACACTCAAGCCAAATAGTTAATGATAATGGTACAGAGTAACTGTACATTCCAGATAACTGAAAGACTATTCTGTCATCAAGTCTGCACAAAAGTTTTGTTTTTTACTTTTAAATAATTCCAATGATCCTGGTGTGCTTTACTCTCTGCTCTCTGTCTTACTCGTAATGCCAGTGTGAACTCTTCACCTGTGAGTATGACACAGGAATTGAAAATGAAAGTAGGAAGAGCTCAAGGGAATAAAAGGCTACAAACTATTTAGCCTTGTTGCCAAACATCCCATTTCTCAGCTTTCATGACTGACCTCTGCAGAAACCCTGACTGCAGTTAGAGGTACTAACTAGGTACAATGTGCCACCCACTCCCCTCTTCCCTATCAGTTCCTCTGCTTGGCAAATCTACTGCAGGATGAAGTCTTTTCCTGTGAAGCATACTGCAGCATACTGCTATGGTGCACGCAAAGTTGTGAAACAGAAAAACCCACTACACCTACAGCAATGTCATTAGAAACTCTGTGCAACCTCTCATTCCACTCCTTTCACAGGATCTGCACGGCCATTCTCACTTTCTGTCATTTCAACCACATCTAGCAGAATGAAATGCATTTTTCTGCCACTATCAAGGCTCTTCATTTTTATCAAAACAGTGAAAATAGGACAGTGAATGACTAAGTGATGTCAAAAAACCATGAATTTTAAGTGCTGCATCTAAGAAAAAGTGGACTGTGGTCAACAGAGTTTCTTCCCAAGCATGAGAAAGAACTTCCTATTCATTTACTCTGGCTGAACACTATCCTACTTCTTATCCAATCTTTTATAAACAAGTGTTCAATTCCTAATTGTGCTGATATGCTGATTTTTAGTTCTTTAACAAGAAAACTGTGGGATAGTGGCTGCCTTAAAATACATGTAATGTGGTTCGCACACAGACTATGTGCAAGATTGCAAGTTGAAATCATGACTGAACTAAAATTCAGTCTCCTTAGAGGTACTAAGTATTATTCATGTTCTCTCAAAAAAATAAGCTATATTGTTAGAGTTGGATTTATTTGGTAATCTCCTCTCTAGCTAGAGAGATATCCTAGTTCTCACACAACGAAGGATTAAGAAATCAGTTCTTACTTTTTTGCCAGTAGCAGTGAATCAACTCCTGTTTCTTATTTAAAAATGGAACTACCAAGTAAGACATTCCTGAAAACATGTCACCAGATCATTCTTCAGGCTCCCTGCAGCAATTGTGCTTTGAAGAGTTATCTGTGCAAATCTCAGCAGAAGGTAGCATCTTATCTATATCCCTCAAAATGCTCAGTGCTACTAAAAAGTAACATAATACCCACTTTGAAAATGTATTACATCATTAGGTTCGGGATTTGTAATTCAGTGCAAATGAGTACTGTCAACAGACTAAGACACAAAAGGCATCCAACCTTAAGCTCCATTTTTCTTCTGCTGGTACGTGCTGCAAAATAAGCACAACTCAATGAGAAGTTCATACTCTTCATATGTTCACATCCCATTTTGAGAGCAAAATTATTACACTGTCATAACAAAAAACAGCACAAAGAATGCTATTGTAGAAGTGTAACTTTCAGAGGAAGAAGCAGAAGTGTATAACTATGCCTGAAGTCACTGTATTGTGCAGAAAAACAAAATGCAAATGAATTTTTCCAAGTCTTGGATAAATGCCCGCATCAACTAATTCATTAGCTCACTTGAAATTCAAACTTAAAAATCACAAGAGGAGAAACCTTGTGAGCATTTAAACTGCTTTTGCTTAATCAATGCATCAGAGCAAGTGAAAATAAACTCTTATTATCAGCTATAATCATGCTATCTAGTGATGTCATACTGTAAATATGGGTTGCCACAAGACAGCAGAGCTTAGCTGCTGTGTAAGAAATCGGTGCTTTGTTTTTGACTGTCAGTCTATAGGGAGTGCTGTACAGGACCATCTTCTGTGCACACATTCAACATCACCTACAACCCAGAGTTAACTACAACAGTCAGGCTGTGCAGCGCTCAGAGTTATTGGTAACACTGCAAGCTTAGAGATGAAGAAGAGGAAGGTAAGTTTCCCCAGAGTGCTGCTAATGAGCTCTCCAGGCAAAGCAAAATCTTCTTTGTTGCCAAAAGTTAAAATGAATCGGGAAGACTGATGTGCAGAACCTCCAGCTTCCTCCTACTTCAGCCTCATATTCTGTTTCCCATCAGTGACTTGATGTGAGAGATAAGCTATGGGGAATGCCAAACAGCAAGGCTTGATGATGGGAAAGCATCTGGAGGAAACAGATCTTTCTCCAGCAGGCAATCTGCACAGCAACTCTGTTGTAACCCAGCAGAAATATTTCTGGTACCCCAACACCTCCCCATCCCATCCAAAGCAGTCCTCAAACACAATAAAAAAATCAGATCATCGCACTTCCACCTTGGAGAAGAGCATGCATATCCTAAGCCTTGTCAGTCACTCAAAGCACAGAAATGAGACAAGCCTAACAAAAACATACGCAGCTGTGAAAACACGGGGTTGCCAAAAGACTTTCAAACCTTCACAGCTGCTTACGGGTGTTTCCTACTCCCGTCCTTGGGCTCCAGCTCAGGGGCCAGACATCATCACATTGAGTTGGCTGCCACCGTGCGGCCTGCACTGTGCAATGCGAGGCGACAGGCACCATGTGGAGCGGGGACCTCTGCACGACACAGGCACAGTGCATCCCCAGCTGCGGTGAAACTTTGGATTGTGGGACAAACTGAGAAAAATCAGCAGGAAATAGTATCAATATATAAATTGCTGATAAAAGTTCTGCAAAAAGCAACCAGCCATGTAAGGTACATGAAATCCTTTTAATTTAGATCTGTGAACTACTCAAATGCCCTTAGAATTCTCTTCAAAAATGAAGAGAAGATCCTGAAACCCCTTGCCACAAAAGCAGCAGCATTTACAAATCCTAAAGACAGCTCAGCGCAAGAGATTTCATGTAGATGACCAAGATACCACCAGTGACAGGACAAGAACTAATGGTCTTCAACTGGGCTAGAGGAGGTACAGACCGAATATTAGGAAAAAATTATTCTCAGAAAGAGTGGTAAGGTATTGGAATAGGCCGTCCAGGGAGGTGGTGGAGTCATCATCAACCTCAGAGGTGTTCAAAAAAGATGTGAACTTTTGTGAAGATGTGAAGCACTGAGGGATACTTATTGTAGATGGTGGTGAAGGGTTGGTGGTTGGACTGGGTGAACTTAGTGGTATTTTCTAACCTTAATGATTGTATGGTTCTATGATTCTCTCTTGCAGGGACAGAAGGAAAAAGGGAGATCTGCACACATTTGTTTCAAGCTGCAACTTCACTTTCTTCCTCTCACAGCTAATAAATAGATAATATTAGCTAATAAAAAGATTACAAGCAGCCGCTATATGTATGTATGTATGTATATACACACACACACACACACATACGCACACACACACACCAGTGAAAGTGCCCATCTGACAGAGTATTGTTTATGAGCAAGCAGGGAGAAACCACTCTAGCCCATGTGGACTGGCTAACAGCACACTCCAGTGCCACAGTGGCATCACAGTAACGGAAAAAAATCACCTCCTCAGGGAGCTTGTATGGCTCAGTGTCTAAGGGATGCCAGAGGAGAGATCTCACCTTGCTCTGCAGCCCGGGTGACTTCCAGTGGCAGCTGGCAGTGATGGCTCCCCTTCTCTGCAGCAGGCATTGCAAGGAGGACCCCAAGGCCCCATTGACACCCACTAGCAGTACTGTCTTCCCATCTGCAGCACAAACATGAAGTGTTACAGCATGCAACTGGCATCAAGCCTCACCAACCCACATGCATCATTCAACTGATGTCCCCAGGACCAGCTAGTAAACCACACCCTTACACAGTAGCTCCATGCTCCCCTTCAACCACAACATTAAAGGTAACTTGAAGACCATGGAGCAACACAAACCACAGGTTAAGTTGTTTCCTTGGAACTCTCGAATTCCAGCAAGCAAATATTGCTCTTCTGGTGCACTGGTATTTTATTTTCACATATCCTTCTGCTCATATTTGTACACTTGACCACATGTTTACAGTTCTGTTACATAAATCCTTGTCTCAACAATGCTGAATTGTCATGAGAGGCTATTTCTGAAACACTGCCTTGAACCAGCATCATCTTCACAATCTGCAAAGCCACCAGTTTAAATCTGCCATTTCATGGTTAGCACTTATACTATCCAACCCAAAACAAAGGATTCATGCAGCAGCTATTTACAGGCAGACCTGGATTTCTTCAAATGCTCACACTAATTGAAATTGGCACACAAAATATATGTTAACATTTACATCCAAAATATTTTAGGTTTTTGAAGACTCAGATGTCTCAGGTGGCTTCAGTGAGATCAAATGTAATGCAAATGGCAGGGAATCTTAGCCTAATTTTCCTAAAGAGTACAACCAAGATCTATTGCTGCAAATATTGCATACAGATCTCACTGAGGATCTTCACAGGCAGGAAACAAATCAGAAAATAAAACATGGTGAGAATGCTAAGATTTAAGCTACATTAGAATTAATACTATACTCATGATAGAACAACTCACCCAGATCTTCAAGAAGCTCCACCACAGCACCAGCAATAGGAGAAACCAAGTAGTCGGAGTCTTCTCCACGTACCAAACGTCCCAGGTTTACATCGGATAACCTGCAGTGGAAAAGTATAGTAATAAAAAAAACTTTGTGTGATGTAAATCCTCAGTAAAGCCTATAACATGACTAATCCCAAGAGCAAACATATCTCATAAAAGTAAATCATTCAACAGGCACGTTCCGTGGCTAATTTGCACCATCCCACGTGCCCATGGGACAGATGCTGAGCTTCAAGAGACCAGAAAGTAGTTGAGAGTGGGAACAAGATACACAAGCACACCGAGGCAGACAGCTCTCTGCTTTGTGACAGATTAGATGTGGCATGCAGAGCCAAAATGTGACCAGTGGAACAAGATCAGCCCTTCTGGAGCTAAGCTAAGTCACAGTAATGCATCCTTCTGGGATGACACAGACTGCTGAGAAGACAGAAGGCGTTTCTGCACAAGCATTCCTGTTACCCTCCAGCACTCTAGACAATGGAAAGTCAATTAACTTGCAAGATGATCAGACTTTTCCCAAAATGGTGACCCAGAAATCTATATATCTCCAGAGAGCAGTGCAACTCAAGACTGACCAGAAAGTTGTGCTAGTGGGTCCAAACTATTACAGCTTGCTCTCCCACCAGGAGAAAGTACTGCAGAGAAGTTAAAACCTCTCCTGCAACTTCTTCCATCAGTCCCTCTTGCAAACATTTTGGGATTTGTGTTCAGGACAACTGTGTGTGGCCATTTGCATTATTCAAGCATTGAAGTACCTTAACTAAGTAATATCTCTATACAAAAAAGACCAAACATTTTTTGTTTGTTTGTTTGTTTCTTTGAAAAGACAATGTCCTGAATGTACAGCGTATAAAGATATAAAAGATAATGATCAGTGTGACTTACGTAGAAGACTTCAGAATTGCATCTTTTATCACCGCTCAATAACATGCTGGACACTTTGACTGAGGAATCCATTAGTGAAATGTGTTGGAGAAAATTGATTTTTACAAAGACATCAGCCTCTCAGTGGCTCACTTACCCATCCACATCCTTCTCAGGCTTCACAGTATTTAATATGTTACTGCTATACAAGCTTTCTGGGAGGTCAAGGGCAAGGCCCTGCACATTAGGATCTTCGTTAAGTCTCAAGATTTCACTGACAATCTAAGAGGTTAATAAAAAGCATTAAGGATCAGAATAACAGACAACGGAAGAATCTAATTACAAGGGGATAAAACTTATTTTTAGTAACGTGTTTATGGCTACCTTTGCTTCCCCTACATTTTACTGCAACTTCTAAATGAAAAAAGCAATAACCTGCTTCTGCTGTTCTACGTTTCTACAGTTTACTAAATTAAGCCACCCTGACTCTATTGCAAACATTTTACAAAGCCAACATATCATGGGGCATTAAGCTGCCAACATTTTGACCTTCACCACTAAAAGCCTCAGAAAAAACTCAACACTGTAATGAGGATGCTTCAAAGGATGCTTTTAGAAAAAAGAATTCTTGATTAAAACAAAATTCAAAATAGGACTAGTTTATATCCCAACAAAGACCATGTATAAAAAGCCATCATATTAAAAGAATAATTATATGAACAGAAGAGCAAAGAGAAAACTCATTTTATTACAACAGCATATACTGTTACTGATTTTCCTCAGCAAAAGCATCCTGATCCTAAGACTTGACACTGTTCTTAAAGAGAATTCTCATTTTTGAAAAGGTGTTCATAATTATTTGTGCAACTTCAGGTACTGAACCATGTGCGAGTTCAAACCTTTCATTGTTGGTCAAATTCAACATCCGAGTCTGCATTAACTGCCCTTGATTGCTTCATATTACACGCTGAACAAGAGGATTGGACTAGCTGATATTTGGGGGGGTCCCTTCCAACCCCTTTGATTCTGTGATATCTGAAGTACAATACTGATTCCTAGCACTATGTGTTGTTCTGTAGTGGTCACACAGTAAAAGCATTGTCACAGCAAGGAAACAGGTGACGTAAGCAAACTGTTAACAACTTTGTTAAAAGTAGCTAAGCTCAAGTAAAAAATATACCATCTTCCCCCTTACTTAAATAGTTCAGCTGCTTCCTGAGATGTTACTTCAAAGCAACAGCAACCGCTCCTCCATACTCGCTAAATTCCACCTATTTTCCACCATTATTGAACAGATAAGCTCATAACAATGCCTATTTGATCTTTGTTTCAAAAGCCTGGCTTTCTTACAAGGCTCTGACTATACACCATCCTCAAAATGATAATAGAAAGTGGAAAGTTCTGCTTAACTTATGGGGAAGCCTCTTCTGAGATCATAGTGCTAGACAGTAACATTTTAAAAACAAAGTGTACCGAATAGAAAACAGTACACAAAATCCACAGGTGTACCACATTATGAAATCCCCAGGCACAACGAGGCCAGCCGGGAAACTATGAACTCTTTTGCTCTTCTTACTATCAGAGATCTCATGACTGTGTCTATTAATAGCCTGCTATACTGAGAACATACTGGATGCAAGAACTATACCTCAAAGCTAATGCCTTATAAGACATTAGGAAGGGAGCTCTATTTAGTGATTTGGGGTGGATGAATTTGTTTAATGCATTAAATTTGTTTAAGCATTTCAAGATCAATAAATAGGAAAAATTTTTCAACTCTATCACCACTCCAAATCAATTAATCTCCCCAAGGTAAAACCTAAGCAAGAATCAAGAGCCCCATAAATACGTCAGAAGAGCGGCAGTAGGAGATAGGATATCACATATGAGCCCTAGCTCTGAGCTAGCACCACTACAAAAGCCATACAGTCTGTGAGGCTGTAAGAGGATCCTGCAGTTAAATAGCAAACACAGAAACAAAACATGACCAATTATTCTGCCTCAGGATTCCACATGACAGCAACTGTCCAAGAGTGACACTTGCTACGTAAGACAGTCCCAATTCTCATGAGTTAACAGAGACACATCAGGGGTGCTCAATGTCAGAAATATGAGTTCATGACAAAAACAAAACAGAAAGAGTCCTTCAGGTTACCTCATCTTTGCTGCTGCCTTCAGGGAGACAGATGTGAATCACACGTAGACCAACCTGCCAAAAGAAAACAAGACAATTACAATAGGAAAGTAGCTCATGACTGATAGCAAGCACGTTGCCTAAAACTCACCTCTTCAGCAAACTTCTTGTTTATTTCTTGATCCAAAGGAACATTATGTGCCTTAGGGAAAAACAGAAACTAAATTTTAAAATAATAAATTTACATTTGAGTAATGTCAGTACATTAATATACAAGTCTATGCAAGAAACATAGTGAGAACCACTGTGTCCACTAGTGTAGTGAAAATGCTAAGTTCACAGCCTGAAGCAGTAATCGAGCACCTGGTGGGAAAGCAGGGCCAATCCAGGGGAGCTCAGATGCAAGCAATGACCAGAAGGGGTGGATTCTGGCTCCAGCCCTTACCAGATCTCATTTAAGGGTTGGTAGTGGAAGCAAGGGCATCTCTTGCCACACACTACAGTGAGTTCTGTCAGGCAGAAGCAGATGAAGCTAGCTTCTCCTCCTAGTTGCTGTCAGACACTACTCCAGAGCAGAAGCATCCTTTTTTTGTTTTGTTTTTGCTTACTACTTACTCTTGAATTTTAGGAGGCTTTTCACATATTTTTGTATACTGCAACAATAAAACAGGATTTAATATTCAGAACCAGAAACTTCCTATTAACAGATCACCAAGACTTCCACACCCAAGAATGCCAGGAGATTTGTTAAAAACAAACAAGCAGAACATTTATTCTCACAGCCAAATGATTACAAACAAAATCTATCTTCCAATTCAGACAAAAGGACTGCAATAAACTATTTTTAAAGGGTTTATTACAATTCCATGTACACATTCTATGTAGATTTTTCCTCAAAATTTCCTCAGTGCCAATCATTTCCCACTGGAGTCAAGTCATTCATTTGGCACTGGTTTTATTCTGACTGGTCTCACACAAAATGGTTTTGGTCCAAGTCTGTACTAATTCACTAACCCCCCAAAAAGACTGAAAAATGAGAAAACAAACACAACAACAACAACAAAAACCAGCAGAATTTAAAATGGATAATGATATCTTCCATCTCCCTGAGCCCAGCACTGCCTGTATCCCTGGCACAACTGCCACTCCTCTCCCACTCCCCATACCAGACACCTAGGAGGGGCACTGTAGGGGCCACTGCACGGAGAACACAAGTGAACCTAATGCTGAAGCAAGGAAAGGATAGAGTGTTTTAAGGACAGCTCTCCAGCTGTTCCCTTATGCTGAATCTTGTGGAATTGCATTTCCACAACAGTGATCTGACCAACAGGACTGGGTGTTTGACTGCGATTCAGCCAGCCCTGTCACAATATTATTAGAGTTCACTCCATGATAGAAGTCCCTGCACGAGCCTGGTCTCGCCACAATCCATAGAGCATGGTGAGGCCAAGCTGAAGACCAATGTAGGCAGGGCAGAATATGGCACTGCACAGCTGATAGTCACAGGGCAACAGCTCCAGCATTGCACAGGATCCTGATGCCAGATATTATATTCACAAAACCACAGAACTGCAGGAGTTGGAAGAGAACTGTGTCCAACCCCCGCCGCTAAAGCAGGTTTCTTACAATAGGTCATGTAGGTATGTGTTCATAGAAAGAGACTCCACAAGCTCTCTGGGCAGAGCTTCAATAAAACTAAGAAATAAACAAGTTTTTATTATTCTTGTCTCAGTCTCAAGGCAGATTACAAAAAATGCTGGTACTACTCACAAAGCCAATCACGTTCATGCGGCATGTGACTAGAAGGCATCTAAAGGCACTTACAGAGTGGGTTTAATGTTCAGTGTTCAGTGTTCAAATTCCACATTTCTCCAGTGAATTGGCAGCGTACCATGCCAGCTGCAAACAACTAGATCAAGGGGTTATCTCACTGCTATCTATGCTCCTCTGGCTGTAACGTGGAACTTGGACAGCAGCACAGACCTTAGTGCTCTTCCAACGTTGCCCAGTAAAGCAGAGCACTCTCAGTCAACTAAAACAAACCCTCTTTGAGTATAAATATAGCAAATACAGGAAATTCTACTTCAGTCATTGCAGCCAGGCTAGAGCTACTGACTGTTAACTGGAGAACACCTGAGGGGTGAATTTCACCCAGAAGGATTGAGGACTCCACGTGTTATAAAGACCTCTCATAATGCAAATCAGGTGGGGTAAGTGGAGACCACAGGAATGTATGTTTAAAGCACAGTCATGATCCAAACCAAAACACAGGTCTTGATGCATCCTAAATTATAACACGATGCATCCTAAATTATAACACAAATGAGACGGAAATTCTCACACATTGCTCCATCCCACCTAACACTGTTCTCCCTCCCAGGTGACAGCATAAAACACTCCTATGGCCAATGCAGACTGGAGAATAGTCTGCGGGGATGCAGGACCCTCTTCTTCAGGTAACCCAGTCCAGAGCAGCATGGATGAGCTCACCGTGCAACTGCATGGAGACAAGGCAGGAGGGAGAAACTGGAAGCCAGCGAGAGGAGGGTCATTGCTACTGCCAGGTCTTACGCTGACAGCCATACAGAGGGCTATTTGAAAAGCAGTCACGGAAGGAGTTTGTTCACTCAGCCTCTCCAGAATACCTATTGAAAAAAGTTGGTGTACTGCCTCTTAGATTCACTATTACTATTTCAAAAATATAGTTAGGTTTTACAATTAAAACCCACTGGATAGTATCACAAAATATCCTGAGTTTTGAAAGGACCCACAAGGATCATTGAGTCCAACCCCTGGCTCCACATAGCATCATCCAAAACTAAACGCTATGTCTGAAAATGCTGTCCAAACACTCCTTGAAATCTGGCTGCTCAGAGCTGTGCACACTGCCCTGGACAGCCTGTTTCATGCTCATCATTATCTGGAGAAGAACCGTTCCCTAACCCCCAGCTGCCCCTCCCGTGACACAGCTCCATGCAGTTCCCTCAGGCCCTGGGCCCTGTCACTGTCACAGAAAGCAGAGCTCAGCAATGCCCTTCTGCTCCCCTCACAAAGAGCTGCAGCTTCCCTCAGCTCCTCTGCTTTGGCCATGGACAGGAAGGTGGGCAGGATGAAGGAGGGCTTTCACCTGCCCAGGCAGACTTACTCTCAGCAGACAGTAGTGAAGAGAGACCTTGGTTTTCACACCTATCAGCACTATTTGCAGGATTGCAACAGCTTCAAGTGAAATAAATGCTGAGAAATACTACTTTGATTTTAAAACCATCTATCAATTCACTTAGTGCGAGAGAAAGCCCTTGCTCTCTTGAACTCCAAGCTGATTGGGTTACCTGCTGCCACCATTTTGCTTAAAAACATGCTTACTTCCTGCACCACACACCTGTGAAGTTTCAAATAGGAAACAGCACTGAAGGAATCCGTTACAACTAGCCCCATGTAAGCAGTTGTTACCTGAATAATGGCAAGCGTTGGCTCAAGCCGTGGGTGTTCTCTCCTCAGAGAGGCCAAAGATTTTCTTGCATTCTCGGTGATTTTGCTGCAACACAACAACACAGGCACAACTCTAGCAAAAGAATCCAATCAAACATGAAACCCTTCTAACACCAGTCACTGGAAGCCTCCGTTAATCACCAGTACTGTTTCTTGGGCAGATATATTTTTAATCACCGGAATTACCATATATTGTGGAGGGCAGCAATTCAGCAGCCAGTTACAGAGAACCTAAATAGACTGCAATATCTTCCTTTTTCAGCTGTGTACCTCAGTGCTCCAACATGCTCTACACTTTACAGCCGTGTTCTGTTCATCAGGTTTGTCTGACCCTACAGCAAAGAACCAGTGCTCCACATCGCTTCTGGACCAGTGGAGGCCCTCCATATTCTTGGCTCAGGACTGACAGAGCACAGTTCCCTCACACAATGCTGGCCGTGACATTGCCTTTTCTGGATGCTTCTCTGGGCTGCGGGCAGCTGCCAGACAGAGGAGCTCTATTTACTGCACCACTTCTTGGAAAAAATAGCAGAAGCCGCAGCTAAGCACTGGGAAGACTCTCTAGTAAACATCCCTGGGTGAGTGGCCGTGGATTCTATTCCCTTTCCTCCTGCACACAGGGAGTTGCGACATGACACGTTTCAGGGAATGGGAGATCCTCATTTGGCCCCCGCTAGCTGGGAAGCGTCAGACTAGAGAGGCGTTTTACTATCTCATCCCTCCTTGCAGAAGCCAGAAACTAGCAAGTTGTCTCAGCTGTCCCTCAGCGGCTCCATGGAGAAGAGGAGGGCTCACATATCCACGTGCACATCCGCGTCCGCAGCCTCACCTGGACCACCCCGCAACCGCCCGAAACGCCCCAACACAAAACCTCCCTCAGCCGTGGCAACGCAACCTGCCCCCAACCCCCCACCCTTTCTTCTTTTTCTTCTACTTCCTCTCCCTCCTCCTCCCCCCGCTATTGCATCAGCCTGCACCGCCTCCCCTCGCGCTCCGCTTACCGCGCTGCTTGGCCGCCCGCTGCCTGCCACCCGCTCAGCGCCCGGTACGAGGCGGCAGCGAAGGGCAGAGAGCGGCAGAGTCGCATCGGGAGGCAGAGCCGCAGCACTTCACCCCTCATTCTCCTGCGGGCTGCCTGCTGGCTGCGGAGCCGAGGCGTGGAGCGCGTCAACGGGCAGGCGGAGGGGGGGGGCGGGACGTGCTCCCCGCCCCTCTCCCCGCCCCGGCGGAGCCCCGCTCGCTTGTGCCTTTCACCGAAAGAAAAGAACCGCAGCTTGTTGCATACTCCACGTTTATTACAAATAGTATGAAATGGTCCCTGGGAGACAAGTTACGCGCTGGTACACCTCCCTTTTTTTTTTTTTCCTACTTCTTTTTTTACCTCCCATTGAACGAGGTGCGAGTTCCAAACAACCTAGAGGTGCAGGGGCAAAGCACAGATGCAACTCCTATGGGTATTTACAGTACATTACAAGCTCTAATAAATAAATATGGGCTCCACTACTTCTCGGCAGCCTAATTCTGTACAGTGCTAATTTTCTCAGGCTGACTGCTGTTCCATCTGTGCAGAGCATCACTGCTGCTGGTTCGGACAAGTTTGTACATGCAATGAGCGACCAGTCAATGCACCTGGTAAATAATTTAATCCATTCTAAGAAATTCAAGTCCTTAAATCTTATTCTACAAGTAATTAGCTGTACATTGATAACTTTGGATTTTGCTCATGATAACCAATGGAGAAAACAACAGACAGCAGTTCCGGGAGTGCAGTAACTGAGGGGAGCCATACATGGTCAATAAAAACAGTACTTCAGTTCCTTTATATACTGATATGTTTAACTCGGTACTGGCTTTATCTGCATTGTCTGAAGAACTTAAGCACCAAAGCACAATGACAATCACACAGGATGGTCAGTGTAGACATACTGAGGCTTTCCTCTTGGTACAATGCTTTCAAGTAACAGAATCCAAAGCTGTGCAATGATGACAAAACAAAGTAAATGTGCATCACAATGGAAAGTCTATTCTTGTTGTAAATGGGGGTGTTTACTCTGTACATTATTTGCAAAAGAATGGAATACGTTCTCATGTTTCAGCTACTCATATTATATAGACACTGGATTATACTCAGCCCACCTTGTTCTGAAGATGCCTCTTTCACCCCACCCAGCCCTGGAGGAAGCAGCCTGTACCTCAGCCAGCAGTACTGCAGAAACAGTTCGCAGCCTGAGCTCAGCATGTTTCACCCAAGCACACACACAAATCCCACTCTCTCTCAGGGTTACTGACTTCGGGGTGTGAGGAACTTGTAGATCACTGTTTATAAATTGCACTTGACCGATCCACACGCAGTAGCTTTCCACTGCTGAGCTCTGATTTAGTCTGCATGTCCCAGACACTACAGGCAAGGAAAGCTAGCACTCATCTTCATAAGCAGCAGAGCTCCCTTCTGCTGTCCCAGACACCCTCAGGACAAGGATGACCTCACATTGACAGATTCTGTCAGATTTATCTGACAGATTCAGATAAAAAGATGCCTCTGCCCATTCTCTGCCAACTGTGCAGCCACAGCAAGTAGAAAGGCTCCAGACACAGCTATCAGCATCTCTCATAAGCACTAGGACTAAGTTCTGTTTAAAACGTAAGAAGTCTATTCTAAATCAACGTAGTATATTTGGTATCTCATGTATTGGTCCTGTAGACTTGGAATCTCTCTTCTGAAAAGTAATGTGCAGCAGCTTTGTGCAATCGCACATACAGCATGATGCTGTCATTATCAGAACCTTGCTTAGAAATTTGCACATTTATGGATGTAGCCATGTGCAATCAGAGTCATTATAAGAACAGAACTAATCACAAACCAGAAGTTCAAATGCTAAGGTTTCCGTGTGGTAACATGGCTTAAGAATCAGTGTCAAACCTGGGTTAGACAGCTTAAAAAAAAAAAGAAAGAAAGAAAGAAAAAGAAAGAAAGAAAAAGGTATCACACCTAGCAAGAAACTAAGTTGTGCAGAAGAAAGATACAGAGGCTCCATATGGGATCATGGAGCAAGACAGCAGATAGTGCACATGTAGCCTTTTAACTTCCAGGATTCTAAACCATTAAAAAAAAATCTATTTACAATATTACTGTGATACAATGCCTGATAGTGTAATAATACAGAAATACACGATGCCAGTACTGATTGTCCCAGTATATGCTCTTCATGTTAAGGCAGTACAGCTAGAGACCACTGAAAGCATCAAGCAAAGCTACTGGAACTAAGACACTGAAACTTTTCCCGTAAAGACTGGACAATATTCTGCTGGTTGGGAGATGGCACTCTCCACAGGTAGTCATTTAGTTTATCTGAGTCACTGTATGCAGTCAGATATGGGGTAAGTGTGTGTTTGCTGCCGGTGGGCTTTGCAGGAGTACAAGACACAGTTTTGCCGCAGAGAGTTTCAGAAGGATCAGTGTCTGTGTTGTGCAATTTAGGATCCAGTTTCCTTGCTTGGTTCTGAGAAGCCTCCAGATCAGACTCCTCATCTTCAGACCTTATTTCAACATAGTCATCATCATCCCCTTCCCCCTCTTCAGTGTCTTTGAAATTAGAAAAATAGTTCTGAGTTGCCATTTGTGCAGTCAGAGGGGAGGGCCTGTTTACTCTCAGGACTTTTTGAGAATCCTGCAAAATCACATCCGAATAGTTCTCAGGGACCTGCTTCCTCATATCAGTCCCTGTACAGGCTGAAGCAATACCCAGCACTTGATGGCCATTGAGACGGAAGTTCCTATCGGAATGAACCATTTTCTTGTCTGTTTCATTAGGATATACAATTGATTCTCCAGATCTATTGACCACAATCGAAGAAGATGACTGTGACCTACTGTATGCCTGTGGTTTGATACTGCTTACCCTTCTCCCAAGGGAGTTATAGATATGATCTTGGTGTAAATTTTCTTTGTTAGGTTGGCTGATAATCGCACTCCACCTCTGTGCTGGGACATGCAGTCGGTTAGAAATCTGAAGGGAAGGCACTGAGCAGGCTGATGGCAGCTGTCTGGGATTGCTTTTTGTCACAGCTTCTGCATATGAGCTCTTGGACTTTGTGTCTTGGGGTTCTGGCCAAGGAGAAAAGTCAGCCAGCTCACCATTGCTGTAGGTAGAGTGCAAAATCCAATCCTCTGCTCTGGAGCACTCGGCAGTGACCTGGGCACAGGGATGAGTGCTAGATAGAGGTGTGGAAAACCTCACAGCTGAGGGCTCCTGAGGGCTGGCCCAGGCTTCCTTTTGGACCTTGGGTGAGCTGTCTCTGAAGACAATCTGGTCATAAAGCTGGGAGTATTCAGCTATCCTGGCACCTAGGGAAGAGATTTTTTTAAGAGTTTTAATTGAGACAAAGCAACCCATTCATTTGACTCGCACAAAAATTTGAAGATCCCAAAACTCTTTGGTATCAGTTAAAGAAGAAAACAAAAGATTTATAAAATACTGTTATTAAATCTGTTTCATTCCCTAGTATTTTCAAGTAATTAGAGTGTTAAGTTTTTATTCTAAAAGAAAATGATTTCACTCCTCTAAACTGAATCCTACCAATAAAACACAAGTTTGCCCTACCTTGGAGAGGGAAAGCTTAGTGGAGCTGAAGCCCATTCCAGCCTCTTACCCTTGCTGAAAGTTTGCACTTTCTGGCCAGAATATAGTTTGATCAGACTACTGTTTCACGTAGCTGTGACTTCAGCCTGTTTGTGGCTTGAAGCTTGCCTTATAAATAAAACCCATCCAACTAAATGCTGAAAAGTGTGGAAAAAGCATGAAAGAATGCAATTTTCATTTCTTTTCCCATGTTATTTTTACACTGCAAAAAGACAGGAAGGCTAATGACCTGCCTGATTGTTCTTCCTCTTCCTTTTCCTCCCTACCCCCAAGAGTCTGAGAGCTGTGAAGAGAGGTTGAGAGGGGACAGTGACATCCTATTGAAAGGCATATGTAGAAAAGAGGATTTTTGCACCAGAGGGAGCAGGTTCACAGTAGCTTTCATGCCATATCAGTGCAAGGAAATGCACTGCTGGGCTTCCCAAGAGATGACGATGAAGCCAACGGTATCTCACTCAGAGAAATGGTTATTAGGAAACAGAGGCCTTTTAAGTTCTGCTGAAATTTGGTTCTATACTGAATTCTGGGATGTTTTTTCAAATTCTCAATCTTAGAATTTGCCTCAGTGTCTAATTCTTGAGCAATTCTGCCAGCATGACTTGGTGTATAGTGCTCTAATATTTACTACATTTAATCTAATGGCAAACAACACTACAAGATAAAGGAAACACACAGTTCCAATTATAAACTGTTTCATGACAAAATGGAAAAGAACTTTCTGAAAATGGCCTGGTGAATGGGATATTTAGAGACTTCTATAAAGGCGATAATGACACTAGCGTGTGGAGTCCACTGGCTTCACTTCTCCAATTTGTTTCAACTGAATATGGACAAAAAAATCTCCAAAATTCTTGCAGCATATCCATTACTTTGCACATTCATTATAGAGAATAAGAGCAACCTTCTTATCTGACCTCATCCCTTATGCTTGTAAGCGTGACGTGGATGTTACCTGAGCAAATCTGGTAACATGGTTTATGAAGGCAAATCTCTGCACCTTTTTATTCAAAATAGGAAGATCACTCTATTAAAGGAAATAATTGCAGGCTTGGGGTTTTTTTGTTGTTTGTTTTTTGGTGCTTTTTTTTTTTTTTTTTTTGGTAAAGAGGCCAATGATGCTTCAGACGTGATTTCTAATTCCAGCCTAAGCTGAGCCTATCCCCCCCTGCCAATACCCCAGACTATTTCTTCCCTATTTTATCAAGTAATGGCAAGAATTTATTGAGATATAAAGGACTATTCACATCAGAAGCAGTCACAGGAAATTCCTTTCAGTGTCATAAAACTGTGACACCAAAAAGACAGTAATGATATTCAGCTAATAAGGTAAGGAAGATTCTATACTCCAATTCAGTACATGAATTTCACTGTAAGAACTTAAAGAAGTAAATCTGTACAGGAATATTTTTAACATACCAATAGCAGGACCACCTTGTTTCTTCTCCTCGAGAATAGCAGCAAGATCTTTGTGCTTCAGTTTTTGTTGTCTGCTAGCT